GATCACTGTGAAGGCTGACGCATGTTTCTGCGTCTTTACGCAAAGTCGTGTCGACTCGTTTCAATTCATGGTTCAAAAAGGCTTGCGCGTGTTGCAGAGCAATTCACCGCCAGAACTATAGGTGGAGTAAAGTTTTTTTTTCGAAGACAACCTAGAGAGTCATGTCTTTGTGTGTGGGAGTCGTTGGTTTGATTTCTTCCAACAAAAGCTCTTCAATCTGATCCGTTCTCTCGCAAAAAAATCTCCGTTTTAATAATGCCGGTATTGGGCTATTCAATTCAATCCAATTCTTTTTATTTTGTATAGCCCAAAATCGCAAATTACAAATTTGCCTCAGAGAGCTTTACAGTGTACACATACAACATCCTCTGTCCCGAAACCCACCATCGGCACAGGAAAAACTCCCCAAAAAATGAAAAAACCCTTCCAAGAGGGAAAAAAGGGAAGAAACCTTAGGGAGAACCTCAGAGGAGGGATCCCACTCCCGGAATGGACAGACTACAATGGATGCCATGTGTACAGAATGAACAATGTATAATACATGCAATTCCTATGACAGAAATGATTCAAGTAATTGTGAGTAGTAAGCCAGGCGCACAGCAGGACCACTGCAGGGGCAACCACCATCAGATAGAACCACCATCCACAGAAGCCTGTGGGGAGGGAGAGCACAGAGACTTTAGGAGAGGGTAATGTTGGTTTACGAGTACAATAATATGATTAATAGCGAAAATAATAATGATGATGATGATGACGATGGCAGCAGCAGGCGTCAGCAGGGCCACGGCAGGTGTCAGCACCAGGGTCCAGAAGGAACTACAATCTACGGAGACCTGCTAGGGGAGAAAGCACAAAAAAAGTCTAGAAAAATGGGTTGACGCACGCAAGGGACACGCAAGGGGCTCTTGCGTCTCTCTGAAAACGCAGAAGCATAAACTAGGCTTCAATCTAAATTTGAATTTGTCAGGTCCAAAAGAGCTAGGGAAGAAGAAAAGAGGGAGAGTGTGACCTGTTCTTTCCCAGGTGTATAGACTGACCCGGGACTGCTTGGTATTTTTAGCTCTCCAGTTTACACATGCTTTCAAAGTGACTAATTACCAGACGTGACCCTGGTAGCCGTTGCAACTTTCTTCACTTTCATTCTTACTTCCTTCTCCATCCACGTATCCTGGCCTTGCCTCCTTTAGTTAACAGTGACCGGTTCAGCTGGTTGAGAGAATATTGTGGTTCAATGTCTCATCCCTGGTCTCTCTTTATTGTTATCATTTGACATTTATTTATTCTCCCATTTCACTTCGTGGCTCTATTTCCCTCCACTTCGCTAATGCAAATCCTGACCTTTTGAGCGTAACTTTTTTTCATATCTGCTGTGCTGTGAATATACCGTGTTTCTAGGCGCATGTGTGTATTCCCTGAATTGTGTTTGGTGCATCAACGGTGGCTCAGTATGAAAGTTTAATAAGCATTTGGTGCAATAAGAGGAGACGAGCTTTGGATCCTAACCTAACATAACCTTCCCTATGCCCCCCCCCCTCCGTCTAGTGCACATTAAACACATCTACACACCTTTCCCTAACTAATTATTCATGTTGTTGTTTTTTCAGTGAAAGAACATACTCAAGCCGATCCCAGTCTCCCCTATCACCCCCTCCCCCATTGTTGGGCAGACACATACAGTAACTGTAACATAACCCCCCCCCAAAAAAAAAAAACATCCATACCTCCAGCATGCGTGTGCAGATTTCCAGGGTGACGAATTGTCAGGATGTAAAGCAGGGGCAAAGAGGTCCACACACATCCATTATCTATTTCTCCATCGGCGGTATTGACCCGTCTCATGTGACCCGGGGGGGGATCATGCTCTGATTGGCTGGTCATCAGAGAAGCAGGGATGGAAGGGCAAGGAAGCTTGACCCCATGTACTTTACTGTAGCCTGCCTTCAGACCTGAGAGGATATAACAGCAGCGGGATGAGACAATAACGACTCAGAAATAGAGAAATGGACACGACTTGCCACATGTTCGGTAGATGATTGTCCTAAAGCTCCCATTTTCTGACATAACAAAAAAATACAGGAATGATTGATGGCTAATGGGTTGTTGAAAAAAGACCAACCCATTCCACAATGCATGTCCTGACCAACTGCCTCTCCTTTGCACAAATAGACAAGCATGCCAGGATATTATATGCTGTCATGTGAGTTGCAACCCAAGGAACGTAGGGCTCTGGTTTCAGCTTGTGTGGCCTCCTGTGCTAGGAGGCTGTCCAACGTTCAATATGAGCTGCTTTAGTTTGTGTTCTCTCTGCACCTCCCCACGTTTTCACCGCATGTCCTTTTCTTCTCTCTCATTGTCTTGCATTCAAACACGCTCACATGTTCTTTCCATCTCTACCCGGTGAGGAAGTGCTCTTGTTCCCAGGCAGACTGGGTGGTCTCCGGGGGGGAGGGGGGAGGATGGAGGGAGGGAAAGAAAGATTGAAGAAGTTCAAATTCTTGGACTTTAGCGGAGAGAAATAATAGCTGACATCCGAAACATGTGTTGCTGTGCGAGTGTCTTATCTCCCTGTGCTTTCATCTGTTTTTATTCATCATTTTTTTATTTCCTGTATAGACTCCCTTCCTTTGAAGCGTTCGCTGGCATCCGTCTCTTAGAAAGTGTTCTGTGTGCAGAATGCATATTTATAGTACAGTGTGCACATGTGTTTCTTCAGACATGTTTGGCATATGCGATAAAGGAATCGGCTCCATTTCTCCTTGTTTGACTGGGCGTTCCGGGGGATTGAGGTAGGGGAGAGAAAGTCTGACTGAGATTGAATGGGGAGGAGGTTTGTAAAGGGGAAGAGGGAAGAAATAATGAGAGCGAGAGAGGGAAGGCGGTGGAGGAGTGGATGGCGAGAGAGGGTGAGGAGTCAGAGGAATGAAAAGACCAAGGCAGACATGTCAGGGAACAAATTGAAAATGCCAATTTCACTTTAGGCCCCACCAGCACAGGCGCTTACCGGCCAGCCGCGGCCCCTTATTCCATGTGTAAATGAATGGTGTCCACAGAATAACACACAATCTCCTCTCTCTATCCACCTCGGCTTCACTATCCCCCACCCCCTCCTCCCCCCTTGCTGTATCACCCCCCCTCTTTTTCCTATCCACTTCCTTCATCCTCCCTCACCTTTCTAGTTTTTCGCTCCCTGCACTCCTTGTCTCAGCACACTTCACCTGTGTCTTTCCAAACCATCAGCCATTCTAAATGTTCTCCAGTCTTTTAACCATCACTTGAGGCTTTTCTCTGCTCTTTCTTTCTGCACTCGCTCCTGTTCTAATGGTGCTTTTCAGGTCCTTTTAGCGTCACCAACCCTACCTTTACCTTTCAACATGACCTGCAGTTGACATGCCCTGTGTTTGTGCTAAGAGACCAGGTTCGCTGGCTTCAAGTAGAGGGTGCCCTCTGACTTGATGATTATTTTCCTTTTTGATAAGCATACTGCATATGTATTATTTTATTTTTTGTCGTTGTATGAAAACTCTATGAAGTTTAACTTTATGAAGTTTTGTTTGTCATTCTGTAGTCCGGCGAGTTATTCAGCGGTAGAAGTTTCATCTTCAATAGTTCATGGCTACTAAATAAATAAGGGTGCCAAAATGTAACTGAAAACCTTTTTTGAAGTATTACTCCTTAAAATAGACTAAAGTAAAAGTAGTAGTTCCTCTAAGATACACAGACATCCTCCTTCATTTGGATATCAGCATCTCCGCCTTCGGGGCCTAATCGCAAAAAATGGAAGAATGAATTAATCAACCGTTCACACATTGTGACATTGCAGTGTCCTCTCATTTTCTTATCTTCTCTATGCACATTTTGTGGTATTTTCACCCTCAAATACATTCAAATTCACTAATATTACAGATGTCAAGATAAATCTGGCAATATCACGTTGGAGGGATATCACATAGTGGCAAAGTTGTAGCTAGATTCGATCTGCGGGGGCCCCATCGCCTCCGGCTCAGGGCTTTCACACTGGATTGTATCACCACTCCACTAGAAGAGAATCGTCCTGCTATCTCTCAGCCTCAGGTCACTGAAGATAGTGACCACACCAGTGGTTAGTGAGACTCACTGGACGCCCTTTGACTGACCGAGGTATTAGGTCAACATGTTGGGTCTTTCCAGCTCAAACCGTCTCGCTATCTAGAAGCACGTATGTTGTATCGTAACCACAACTAATGACCAGAGTAGTTAAACGCATAATGTGTCTGCGACCGGGGGTTGTGTGGGCTCAGGGTGAATGAGATCTGAGATGATTGGGTGTTTACCTCTGGCTGATTTGTCAACGTGAGAGAGGATTGATGAGGCAACGTAACTTGTAAAGCTGCATTTTATTTGCCGGGGATAATCGTGGTCGATAATTTATTTGTTTGAATGTTGCCAAGGGTCTTACAAGACTCCTTTCTCCTTTATTCCTCCTGTTAACATACCGCCATCACATCGGGGCTTTTGAAGCTTGTTGTCTCATATAAAGCGATTCCATAAAAACTGATTATGCCGCCGCCGAGTCAATTACGTTTCAACTCTTATTAGTTCGGGATGCAAAAATGAAATTAGATGAGAATATTATTGTTGGAGATATATTAGGCTTTTCATTCATCACTGGAATGGAATGAGTCATGCAGTGATGGGGATTCCAATCTCTTAATCAACTCCGTGCTCTGCCAGGCAGCGGCGGATGTGCTGCGTGTTAAAATCACAATATAGCCTGTCTCTCATCTTTCATTTTTATGGGCCTTCGACTGTGTGAGCACCGCCGGGTATGACATTACTAGCAGCCACTCGCTGAATGGAGCTTGCTCTGGGTATTGGTGGATATTTCTCTCCGGGAACTAATTTCATGTTTTATTAAAAGGCTGAGAATGTTTTACAATGATGTTATTGGTGAAAGAAAATGATTGTTTGGGGTACGGATTTGTGACTGTGAATGCTAATATTAATGTAATAATGTTTTTCAGTATGCCTATGACGGCAATGACATCAGCGACCTGCCAGTGGATTTGTCTGTGGTTTGGAACGGAGACTTTGTCATCGACAACCCCTACAACATCCAAGGTGAGTTCACTTTATCAACCCTTGTTGTCTGCATCAGCAAATGTAAAGACTGGAGAGTGACATTGTATTAAGTGTAAAAGCATTCCTAAATCATGTGTCTTAACCTTTAACATGAGAAATTATGGTCAATCAATCAATCCCATTTCAAAAGTTTTGATTTCTCAGTTTATATTCAGCTGAGTCATGGCAGCATCTCAAATAAGTAGGACCCAGAACTTACATACAGAAGTTGGGAGACTTCCAAAATAAAAACTACACAGTAAATCATTTGTATATGATTAAAATCCCCCTGGTCATCTGACCAACTGCATCTACAGTTTTTGTGTCGGACATCCACCGTGTGTGGATCAGAACTGCGGTTCTCGAGACAACTTCATGTTGGATGTCAGAAAACGCTGGGAAATATTCTATCCAATACAATACAGATCAATTTATTGTTACATTCCCCAATTCTAAAATATATGAATCCATTTTTGTCACTGAAAATCATCCACTGTGAAATATTGTTACCAAGCTAAGGTTCATCCATGGAAACAGTGTTTTAACAAAACAAAATTAGGTAAAATAAAAGTTTACCGGCAAATCTTATTCATAACATAGATCGTTTTTCAGCCTCATGAAGCATTTGTCACCATGTAAAATATTGTGAGCAGGGGAAGTATTATTACAAAGCTGTTGTAGAATTTTACCCAGACAGATATAATTATTAACAATGTGTGCACGACTGTATCTATACACATTCAACAGTACATTATTACCATAAGTACACTTGTGTAAAACCCAACCTCCCCTTCCCAACAAAGGGCCGAGAGGATAATGATTGTCAATGCGCCGCCGTGGGACAATGAGATCATGTCTGTTGGATATAATTGCTGGTAGAACAGTCTTCATACTGCTTTCTACATAATTATTGTGGCCTGTACAGCACAGGAGGGGTCTGCAACATTATTCTCCTGCTGTGAGGAAGTAACAGCCTCTGCACCCAGCACAGTGTTTGATACGGCCTGTTGATGACACGCACAGGGAGTTTCATACAACGGAGGGAGCCGCTATGTTTGGAGTCGATAGTTGCTCTTTGCTGCTTAAAGACGCCGTGAGGAGACTTTGCGCAGTGTGTCATAAACAGAAGAGGGATCTTCTGAAGTGCAACCAGAGTTGACCTACAGCCTAAAGATGTCCTCCTCTATTGGTCTGTCGCTCTTCGCTGACTAGCCCCTCCCCTTTTCACGATCCCGATAATCATCTGCTGGAGTGTGAGCTGGTCCCGCTTGTCTTAAATACTGGTATGTTAATGTAATTAGAGAGGAGACGTTTAGCAGCCAGTGATTGTTACAGGGTTGCTTTAAAGCTGCTCCATGACCAATGGGATTTAGGGATGGAGTAGCAGAGAGAGAGGGAAAAAAATCCTGCACAATTCATGAGGCCTTTGGGAAATAATGACTTAACTCAACTTACTATGACTGACATTGAAGAAGTTTTAGCATTTCTGTGTGAAAGTTAAGAAACTTTAAGAGGAGGTGTTTGCGTGATTTTCCAGCTGTTCTGCCACTCACGTTGTATACAAACTTTATTGATATGGTACCTTAATTTTATCCCTGTCTTCATTCCACCCGATAATAATGTTTTATTTCTTCTCCTTTCCCCACCAGCCCACCTCTACAAGTGCTATGCCTTGAGGGAGAGCTGTGGGATGTGTCTGAAGGCGAACCCCCGCTTTGAGTGCGGCTGGTGCGTACAGGAGAAGAAGTGCTCCATGAGGCAAGAGTGTACTCCACCGGAGAGCACTTGGATGCACGCCACCACGGGAAACAGCCGCTGTGCACACCCCAAGATCACCAAGGTAAGGCGTGATAGTAGCGACGCGCGCTCACCGCGTAACACCGTGTAGCAGCTCAGTGTGCTCAGGAAGCCCAGCAAGGTGACACATTCCTACCGGCACATACTTGCAAGTAGAAACTTGCACTCCTCTGAGTTAGATCAGAAGTGCTCGGTATGCAGCGACCCACAACCTAATACAGTCGGTGTATCACGAACAAATGCATATTACCAATTGTATTCTGGATTTAAATCTGGATGTAAATTAGCAGGTGTGTGTTCATGTATATCTATTTCTTGGTCTCAAAAAAAAGAAGAAGAAGAAAACCTCTCAAAGTTTGTCGGAGATTTAAACTGACGCTGTCACCACACACGTTAACGGCCCAGTCTGTGAGGCCGTGGAGCCGCCAAGATAAACACGGCAAGGAGCTGCTAAATCCACGTTAGAGAAAAACTCCTCTTACCACTGCTGAAGTTAAAGCAGACACTTGACTTGCTATTCGAAGTGCGTTGCCCAGCAACTTGACCTCAGAAAACAACAAACAAGGCAGGGGTCAGAAAGGGGGTGTGAGATTATTTCTTGTTCAGCAAACTTTGAAACCGCATACCTGCCTTTTGACATGAATCAAAGCGTCGACAAAGTCAGCCCATTAGTCATTTTTCCAAACCAAGAGATTATAAATCCCTGTGTGTGCGTCACTGTTTGGCCTCAGTGAATGACATGGAAGGCGGAGAGGCGCCAGGGAGGATAGACAACTTAGAAGCCATCACTGTAGCTGCAACCACAACACAGATGGGCCGAGCGGAGGAGGCAGTTCACAAGCCACCAAGACTGAACACACTGACATGATTAGAGATGATGGCTACACAACACACACACACACACACACACCTGAGGCAGAGCAGGTGGTTGTCTGGAATATATATATATAAATATATATGTGTCTGTGTCTCCAGAAGGGTGAGAAAGAAACCCAGAATGTGCAATTGTGCTAATTGTGTCCCACCATGGGCGCAGAATTTGTGCACGCATGTGTGCATCTGACAGGCTGGGTGAGACAATGCGTCCGAACACCACGGCGTCCCCATCTGTTGGCTCTGGGTAACCGTGGCGGTGGTCCTCGTCTGACTGTGACCTGGGTCACCGTCCCTACAGCGCGCCGCTGGGACTGACACAGACGCGCACGCCCTCGCGAATAGACACACAGAGCCCAGTTAGAAAGCCACGCGCCGCTGTGCGAACGCGTCCCGACGCTCAACCCTTTTGCTCGCTCCCGTTTGCCCTTCTGCAAACGAGAGCGAGCAGCTCTTTTCCTTCTCTCCCGCTATTCCACCTCAAGCTACGAACACTTTTTCCTTTTTAAAATATAATTTGATCTAAAATAAGAAGTATCCTCATCACAGCGGAAACGAGTGCCATTGCTCTCTATTTAAATGAGTGTGAAATATATGTATTGCTTATAATGAATGCCCATTTTCACCCAGGCGGACTTGTGTGGCTGGAGCCCTCGGTACATTTCCTGTGTGACACGGGATCGTCTCTCTGAATGCGTAATGGAGATATTGGATAATTGGGGCACTGGCACATAGATAAATCCGTTCGCTTATACTCTCTCTCTCTCGCTCTCTCCCCCCCCTTGCTCGCCTCAGTTATCTCTTTGAAACAAGCGTACAAAGGCAATCGGGTTGTGTGGTGCGTGTATGTATGAGAGCGAAGGGGTGGGGGTGAAGGTGGTGGTGAAGATGTATGTGCTCTCCCGTGCATATTGAGGGGTAAATCATGGCCACGGGGCAAGATGTTGGTGACAGTCAAAAATCCGGAGTAGAAGATCTTCAGCAGCAGGAGGAGGAGGAGGCAGCATGTACTGTAGGTTTGAGAACACGGGAGAGACAAAGAAGAACAGAAAAAAGGAGGCACTGTAGGAGGCGTTATCGGCCTGCTGACAGCCTCAGCTCTTCTCTACACCTTTGACATTTACAGTTTGACAATGCTGAAAGATCATCAGCGGGTGACAAAGAAAATCTCTTATTTTTCTGCTGCCATTTCAACCTTTTAGTTCTCCCAAAGAGCATCACACCAACCATAATGCCTATTACTTCACTTCTTAATCTCCGATCATTAAAATCCTCTTTTTTCTCTTTGATTTTTTCTCTTTTTATAAAAGAAAAATAACATTTTTGGTTCATTCAGGCTGCTTGCATCGTTGTTGTTGTGCGGCCATCAGCTATTGGGTTTGCCGCTAATTTAGTTTGGGTCGGAGAGTGTGCGTTCGTACGGCCGCCATAATGTGATTGAACGCACAACATGCGGACACACATTATATGCATACACACAGGTATCAAGAGCTTTGAAAGCAGCAAGCGCGGAACCCGTGTGTGTGTGCTGATGCCCATTTGACGTTGTTCTATAGTGTACAGTTGGGTACCGTTCTACTAATAACTAAGGACTGTTCTCGGCAATGTTGATGTTTTAGGCATCTGAACTCTAACGGTTTTAGAGCAAAAATGTAGCTGTTATGCTGGTGAAGTGCTATTTTTACCGTGCTGCATTTTTTTCTCTCTGCACTGACATTGTACACTAAGATTAATTAGTTCTCCTTTGAACGGCAAGTAGAAGCTTTGTGTGTGAAACATACACAAGCGCACCCCCACAAACAAAAAACACCCCGGTCCCCACAGGAAAACACACACACACACACACACACACACACACACACACACACACACACACACACACTCTCTGAAAAGCCTGCATTTAAATACAAAATGTTTGCTTGTGTTGTTTTCTAAAAATCATACTCTAAGCCACACACACAGTGACACACACACACACACACTGTCTGGAGCAGTGTCCTAGTAGTGGCCTTGGATGCTGCCTGGCCCTCCATCATCCATCATTTCCTTCCTGCCTTCTCCTAGGGGACAGGAAGAGCATTACAGCCAGCCCTTAGAAACCAATTAAAACAACACGGCGATGCCAGTTAGTGTGCGTACGTGTGGTATTCTGTGCTTTCTCTCTGTATAAGCGCGTGACACACTTGAGTCCTCTTTGTATTGCTTCTTTTGTGATCTTTTGTAAATGAGAATGTGTTTTTTGCGTGGCCTAAAATGTGATACTGCAGAGAATTGTCTTTGTCTAGTTTCACAGCTCGGGTAGTTGAATTAGTTTCTCCTACATGTACTCTTAAGCTGCAATATTTGCCTTTTCACGTTCCCTTCCTGTTCTTTTTTCTTAACAAAGGAACCTTTTATCCGTTCCTCCTTCGGTCAGCCAGTGTCAAGAGACATGTCTTTCTCTTTAGAGCTCCCTCTGACCAGGCCTCTGCAATTTGCTGCTTGTCTTTTAGACCAAAACAAGAAGCCCTTGCAGATGAAGTACTTGATATTACAATTCATGTGGCTAAATTACAACTATATGTGCTTATATGATCTATATGTTGCTTTTTATCCAGTTTGATGAACTTTGGTAAAGTTTTGCTCTGCCGGTTTTGGGGGATTTATAGCTTTGATCATACAATTATTCACATTTAACATTAAGTCGTACATTTTGTCATTACTTCATTACCTCCTCAGACATCAGAAACCTTGGTTCATTTCATCTTTTATTTACCCCCTTTCTCTTCCTCCTCCTCCTCCTCCTCTTCCCATGACTAGCAGATGCTATCAGTGCATTGCCGCTCGGCCGGCCACAATAGGCCCGACACAAAGCCTCTGACACAACGGGACCGGTCGGAGACAAGGAGGAAAAAGGGAATTTGACTGAGTGTGGAGCGCCGCGACTGTGAGGAGAGAATGGAGCGACTGTTTAGGCTGGTGGCTTTTATCAAAAGGGGCTTTTTGTTTGTGTTGGTTTGCTGGTGGTGCAACAACTTGTGTAAGTGAGTTCTGATAAGCCAGAGCTTATAGAGACAGAGATCGTATTACCATATCTGAAGATTCTGACTGACGCACAACTGTTTCACTCTTTAGTCTGAAATATAATCAGCCACATTGTCAAAGAGATGAGGATGAATTAGAAAGACAGAAGTCCACAGAGGAAGAGGTAAAGGGCGAGGGGAAGGAAGAGGGATGTTCATCACAAGCCGAGCCGCTGTAAGATGGAAAACACTCCCTAATTGTATCACTGTGGCATTTCAGTTTTGGCCTGCATGACACTGGGCTTTGTTCCCATTGTGTGTTTCAGTTAGTGGTGTCCTGAACACCTGTGGCTTTTTCTAGCCCGCCACCTTCTCCATAATGATGTTGGACTGGGGATTATTGTTGGGTACCAGCTGGGGGAATGGAGTAGAGAGCAGGTTGGGAGTGTGGATCTGATTTATACGGGAGACAGTCGATTTTAAGGAAATCGTTAAACTCCTTTTGGGAGGGGTCACTTCTATTTCTTTCAGAGAGGTAGTTGTGAAGATTGATACCTTATTATCTTTGAATAGTAAATATTTGATGAAGTTACACATAGGAAATTACACTAGAAGGCCATGTTAACCATCTGCTTGTGGTAGCTTCATATTTTCTGTACAGATATGAGAGCGAATCAGGACATTTCGTCTTTTGGCACCAGTTGGTTCTTTATCCTTGTTTTAAAATATTCCACATTTGTGTTCTCATCGATTTTTTTTGTTTTGTTGTTAAAACTGACAAATGTATTAATTGTGATACAGTCAGTCATACCATTATTTCCAACCAAGATCATTGCACAGATATTAATGCTGCCAGTGGGTTTGCCAATTGAGGACCAGTCTATTTACACGGTGCTTTGGAGTAAAATTCTACTTTGGCCAGGTGTCACAAACAAACCAACTTGCATCAACAACCAATTTTGTGACATAAATTCATTTAGCTTTTCGACTTCAGGCCGTGACTGAAACCGTTGCGTCAGCGTTAGCCAACAAAAATAAAAAACATTGGTTCACCAACCATTATAAAATATACATCTCTGGTGTTCTGTGTTATTCTACACAAAGCAGATATTGATATGTAGATATCTTCATATAGTTTGGGGATCCATACTTGTAGGGTAAATCTCTGTCTGGTGGGAATTCAATCAGTGATCCTCCTTTGTGTCTATCCTTTAACGGAAAGTCAAAGTCTGACCTTTTCAAACCCCCCCCTCTCCACGACACCCAACTATCGGCCTCTCCTCCCCTTCAGCCCCCTCCCACCCTGCTGCGACAAAGGACTCCACCCCACCAGGTTCTAATCCAATTAGCTTTAGCCCTAATTCTGCTAGTAATGACTGATTACCAGCGGAGCCATTGTCCGTGTCGTGGGCTGGATGAATGGGCCGTGATTAGCGGCTGGCCTAGCCTCGGGTAGCCATTAGCACCTCTGCACACCTTTTGCAGACCTCTGGGGGAACATCGGGGAGCAGAGGTCGCTGTGTGCGTAATTGTGTTCAGTAGATTAATCGTCACAAGGTCAAACGAGAGATGTAAGTGAGGGCCCGATGGGTGGGTCCAGGTTAAGTGTGTGAGTTGGCGGGTTGTGGATGTTTGACTGAGTTGATGTGGAGATAATGGCTGCAGGGTCATTTTTCGTCTAACTTAATGAGGTAGATTTATTGGGAAGGGGAGATGACCATAACAACTGAAGTGAACCGTCATTCAGGCCGGCAGACAATATATTTGCTATGATGTACTGCTTTGGGTCAAATCAAATTGTCCCATGTGTTGTTCTGGCTAACATATGTCCCATCTCATTTGTCCTCCCAACCAGTTGTCTCCAGAGACGGGGCCCAGGCAGGGCGGGACCATGCTGACCATAACGGGTGAGAACCTGGGACTGCAGTTCAAAGACATCCAGAGTGGAGTCCGCATCGGCAAGGTGGCCTGCAACCCTCAGGAGGACCAGTACATCAGTGCGGAGCAGTAAGTTGACACCGTCTCTGTCCTCACTCCCATCCCTCGCTCTCAGGCTCATTGTTTCCAAGGTCTTTGCTCCCATGGACGTCTTTGTCCAATATTGAATTGACACCGAGAGCTAAGCACGACACTGAGACTCTCTCTCAGACCCTCGGTTTGTGTCGGTGTGAACTCCACTGGTTCCTCCTTTAAATAAAACCAATTATCTCCTGCTGTGTTTGGGACTGCTTTTCTTTGTACAAATGAATTCAATGTATATCTCACAGTAGCTGAGTTAACGTGGAACCTTTCATTTCCCTAATAATGGGAATAATGGCTCCATCAGAATCAAATTACTTCATGTAACCAACAATTAATTTGGCCCATTCTGAGAGAAAAGTAATGACGTTTGAAGCGGGTGGTACATGTCTTCTAAAGATTCAACAGATGAAAGCTTGTCATGTGAACGCTCTGGCTGATTACATTATGTTTTCTGCTTCCTGGGAAAGCCTGAAACACGCTGGGTGCCTGAGAAACTAGTTCATTCTGAGAAAAGTAATAAACAATCATAGCTCCTTGTTATCTGTTGAGTATGACTGAACTCTTGGTTTTAAAAAGACGCAGGTCGCCTTATTGCAATGTTTTTCTTTAGTAACATCATGGGATTCATACAGTTCCTTTTAATTAAGATTGTAACACATAACATAAACTGTGAGGACCCAGAAATATCTGGACCTTCTGTGAAATGACGTGGTGATTGACACTTTTAAATGTATGTTGAATTCACCCAGAAGCAGAGAAAATCCAATCTAGGACAAGGCAACATGAGGGAGGCTTGTCACAGCTGGAGCTGTCGTCAATATTCTATTTCCAACTATGTAGCTGTCATTTGTACACAAATGCTCCATTTTCTGAGTTTTGCAGCACAGTCCCTGCAGATTTTGTTTTCTCTCTACCGCCTCATAAGAAAGGAACTAAGAAATGTGACTTGGATGATTTGACAGCGGGGACAACAGAGGGATATGCGGCCGATGGAAGGTGTAGGAACTACTTGTGACATGTCAATCTTTATATTGTAGTATTCCCACTGAAAAAACACCACTGCTACACTAGCCAGTGTAGCAGTGGAATAGTAGGTGATTCTGTGTTCACATCCAAAAGCACAAAGGTGTCTACGTTTAACCCTGTCAACCTCACAACGCAGCCAAGGCCTGTTGCCATAGCACCCGCAGGAGGAAGGAGGGCGCGGCTGTCATGCTAATTAAAAGTGATGTTAGCCATACGGTGCCATTAGTGGCCCGGTTGCTCTCGTCATTCCTGTGACCCTATTGGATCTGCGGCGAAGGAGACAGGACAGGGTACCGGGTCTGACAGCACAGGTCAAAGGTCAGCTGGTGGAGAGAGGGTTGCGCTGACTGTTGGGAAGAATGTAGACACGTATGTTCTCGCTCCGGCTGTCTCTTTCTCTCAGCTCACACTTGTACCTCATATATTTCCTGTTCCTGAGACTGGATTGAAATTGAATTGCTGCTGGTGTGTCTAGTATTAGTGGGCTCGTCATTCACCTCAGTCATTAAATATTCACCAGATTTGATTCTACATTGGGAAAAAAAGAGTTGAGAAGAGAAACGCAACCTGCCATAACCTTTTTCATTGGCTTGCTGGTAGTTTGTTAAATGTTTGACCGTCACATTCCACCTCAGTTATTTGATTTAGGAAGGCGTAATTTATAATGTTGTCATCGCTACAGATGCACCTGCACTTTCTGTCTTTCTAACCAGGTAATAACAGCTTAATGTAGCCGCCTGCCATCCGTGCAGTAATGAGGAAAGTGAAGCGCAGTTTCCGACTGAGAGCTGTCCAGCATTTTAATGGCGGCCCCTGTCATAGTGGGATTGAATGAAAAGGGAAATAAAAACAATGGAAACAGAAGGCATCGGAATGTGAAATTCACTGTCGCCGCAGTTGCCATGGTCACCTGCGGGAGGATATAAGCAGGAGAGTTAATAACTCATCGCAGGGAGGGAGGGAGGGAGGGAAGTTGAGGAGTCGTGTAGGATATGAGCTTGTTCAATTAATCAGCCTATCCCACTTTACCCCCCCCTCCCCCTCTCTCTCTCTCTCTCTCTCTGTGTGTCTCTCCTTCCCTTCCTCCCTCTCTTCTCTGCACTATTGCCCTTTCTCTGTCTCATTCGTTTCTTTCTGGCTAATTAACAGTCAAGTGTGTCTCCATTGGAGTGTGTGTTCCCCCCCGCGGGCCACACCGCCACTCGTACCCCCGCTCAACCATTTCTCCAGAGGATTTTCGTTTGGCCGGCCAGCGCCCAGGGCCAAGTGCGAGGTTTATAGTTCCATTTCGTGCCCTGATGCAGACACACACACACATAAACACGCGCACGGAAAACTCCGCCCTGTCATATCACCGTAGATTTCCTCTAATACAACATTCGCTGTGTCGTTTTGTTATTTTTATGACTGAGGTTTCGAAACAGTTCATTAAGAACTGTTGGTATTTCTTGCTGGTTGGGTGCATGTTTGGCCAAGCGTCCATCATCTGAATTGGCCGTCTCATTGATAAGCAAAAACTGTATAGAAAACCGGCGTGTATGCTTTTTTTTTCATCTTTCCACCGCTGTGTTTCCCCTTTTCAGGATTGTGTGCCGTCTGAATGATGCAACAGGTTACAGGGTGCAGGACGCTCAGGTAGAAGTGTGCGTTAGGGACTGCATTCACCCCGACTACAAAGCCGTGTCCTCCAAGGCCTTCACTTTTGTGGTAAGTGCTGCCACGTTACAGCGAGGACAGATGTTTTCAATATTTGAAGTTTCTGTTAAAGCTCTGAAGTTCTTATTCATCCACCTGTCCTCTGCCTGTGTCCCCCTGTAGTCCCCATACTTTACCCGAGTCCTTCCTTCCACTGGGCCGCTGTCTGGAGGAACAAGGATCACAATTGAAGGCAGTCATCTCAATGCAGGCAGTGCTGTGTCTGTGAAAATAGGACTTCACCCCTGTCGCTTTGAGAGGTGAGCGAAAACAAATTGCTTTTAACGCAATGCATTTTGTTAGCTTGCGTTTGATTCGCAGCGCGTTTGGAATATATAGTAAGAAGTATTGCACCATACAGTCTTAGTGTTTTATAGAGCTATTTATTAGGACTGAATATTATTTGACAATATACAATATAAGCACCAATGCCAGCCTTTAAAGAGGAATGAAATCGGGTACATTCGATACCTTTTGTGGTTCTTCATTTGATATCCTTCATGTGAGGTGAAGCGTTGAGTTTCCTAAAGGTTTCAATACTCCCTATTTTGGTGTTTTGAGTACCAAACCAAGCCCTAGTATGTTTGTTTGTTTTGTGGCTTATAGATCATTTTAGGTCACAAAAATAGCCTTTTTTCTGTTAGCTGCTTTTGATTTGCCGCAGGTCTGAAAAATACTAGCGGCAAGAAGATGACCCATGGTACTGTAATTCACTGCAATTGTGAGAATGACAGTGTAGCCTTCTCTGGGAAGATGATATCATTGTTCAGTTGTGGTGTGAATGACTTAAGTGCATGGCCCACAGTTTGATATATTGATACATGAAGCCCAGATATGACCACAATTTTGAAAGAATAATACGGGGTAGCTTTTAATCAGAAATCCAAATTTTTCCAGCTTTGAATGACATTTTATTTATTATTCATTCTTTGTTTTTATTACTGTCTGCTGCTGTTATCTTGCATTGCCAATCTCTCTGCAAGAGATTAAACCTATATTTCAAGAGGAGGAGACAAAGATCCAATGTGATATGACTCTAATTCCTTGAGCTGAGGACTCTATTGTTTCTTTGAGTTCCTGGCAAAGTGACAGAGAATTGAGCTCCGGACTAAATCCACTCATGTATGGTTGCTGGCAGATGGCAGAGAAACGAAACTAACTGAAAAGATTGTCAGTTACTAAACAATCACCTAACTGTACTGTAGCGAAAGGAAAAAGCTTGACTGATGAAAGTGAATATTGGTAACAGGAAGAACACGTTTACGTTTTTCCGTTGTAGCTGAGGCACTAGTCCAGTTTCTCTTGTTTCTCCCTTTCTTGTCTCTATTTTTAGAACACATTTCTTTATAACACCGGTGTTTTAATTATAGTCGTTCTCTACTCCCAGGCAACAAGTGACAGGTTAAACTAATGAGCTCGGACCTATCAAGTTCTTTATATATCATCAAAAGAAAGTAAAGGCCAATTTAAAGCTCTGAAGCACATCCCAAGTAAGGTGAACATAATAGTCTTGGCCTTTCATTCACTGAGCAGCAATAACCTTTATGGCCAAAGTAATGAACTGTTTGAGTTCATCTTTTTTAATGTGTCTTTGTATTCAACAGGGCCTCCACTTTAATCAAAACCTATTTACCCCGAGTCACTCATCCTCTTATCTCCGCCTGCAACCCCATTCCTTTCCTTCTCTTTTCTTTCTTTCCGTGTCCCCTCTTGGCTTTCTTTTGTGTGGCCGCAACCTTGTCAGAAATACGTACGCGGCACCACAAGCGCTCTCAGCAGCGACCGTGTTGTGAGAATGGTTGCCATGGAGACGTGGCACTAGTGGAATGTCAATTTTTTCCATATTTTCCTTCTTTCTGCACTCCGTCTTCAGTCCTGTTTCCTTTCGAGGACGCTGTCGAGAATCGCCTCTTGGAGAGAGCGGCGATGTGTGGCCAAAAAACGCCCGGTTCCCCCGGTCTTTGCTTTTCTCCACTCTGTACCCAATCCCAGCCCACGCCAAGCTGCGGCGATAAAAGTCATATTTTCCATCATCTTCTTTCTTTCTGTTGATTTCGCTTTCACAGCAGATGACGGGGGAGGATTTGTGTACGGATCAGCTTGTTCTACCCATGATCAAAATGTCACACGTCCTGACGGGGGTAGGGGACGGTGGAATGAGCCACTGCAGCGGGGCGCAGAGTTTAGCAGCAGGTCACAGCTGCCCGTCTTCCAGGAAGGGAGTTACATCAGACAGAGAGAGACGACCAGCCTGATCTGCCACTTCAGATCTTCAGATCAGCCAGAGGAAGCACAGGAGGGAAGGACAGACAGAGACATAAAGGAGGAGGGGGCGAGAGAGAGAAAGAGGGAGCGCTTTGAAGTACAGTACTCTGTGATTCGGGCTGATGAAACCACGGCTGGACACGCTGAAGCCGTCCCCTCTGTGTGTGTGTGTGTGTGTGTGTGTGTGTGTGTGTGTGTGTGTGTGTGTGTGTGTGTGTGTGTGTGTGTGTGTGTGTGTGTGTGTGTGTGTGTGTGTGTGTGTGTGTGTGTGCGCCTTTTTGTCGCGTCTGATAAATAATTCAGGAGTTATTTTAGGGATGATTAAGAATTTCTTTTTTTCTGCGCTCACCTAAATTTGTATTCTGTGCATCTGTCAGAGAGTCAGCTCCCAAATACTTAAACCATCAGCAACATTTCAATGTAATGTCTTTAACTATCTCTCCTGCCCTCCCAACTTCATCTCCTGCTCTTCTAGGCGGGGCAACAAGGAGATTGTGTGTGTGACTCCGGCGGGACAAACCCCAGGTACCACCCCGGTCATGGTGGATATCAACTCTGCTGAGCTGAGGAACCCGGAGGTCAAGTTCAACTACTCTGACGATCCCACCATCCTCAAGATCGAGCCCGACTGGAGCATCGCCAGGTAAGGACACAACACGGGCTTTTCCTGTTGTGTGAAGGTGCAAGCCTGGTTTGCAAACCTTTGCAAACTGGCTGATATCGGCATAAATTGGTCTATTTTTCAAGCTCTCCTGCGCCAAACCGCTAATTCCACCAGAATTCATTTGTAAAATGTCCTACAAACATTTAGATGTCTGGACTTCAAATCAATACAGTGTTTGATCTCCAATCATGCTTGATGAACCTCTTTAGAACAGATACAAATGCATTAATCCATTATTGAACTTGTTGGTGGATGTTCGAACCATTAACGCCTGGTAGAAATATGATCCCTGAATGTATTATTACACAAGCATACTGAGTCCAAAAAAAAGAACTACATTCTACTCCACTTTCATACTTTACTTATTTTTGAAAGTAAATCGTCGAGAGCAGGAGGAGCAGTGAAAGCGGTTCCTGAAGCAGTGCACTGCTACAGTTGAGTTGCAGCAGAGATGTATCTGTAAATATTACTTGACTTATTGAAATGAGACTACACACCCGCGGGAAGATTTCTTGTGCAAACACAAGCTGTGTTGTGGAGAAAAGAGAAGAAGCTTGAAGCTACCGAGTGCTAATGGGCTCACTTGCGTGACCTAGAAACTCTTCTACTCCTCAGCTCAGAAAGGAAGCACAAACACACACTGTTCATGTCTCATTTACTTCAAAAGTATCATTTCAGGAACATGTTGAAAGTTTTCTAGGCTTTTTTTACTCTTGCTTTTTCTTATAATCCAAAAAACAAGCTACTATTCAAATATTGGGAGAATCCAACAGAACAGCCGACATCACTTGCCCAAGTTGCATGTCTGAAGCCTAGTTTATGCTTCTGCGTTTTCAGAGAGACGCAAGGACACGCAGGGGACCCTTGCGTGTCCCTTGCGTGCCTTTTCACACCTGCTTGCGTGCGTTGACCCATTTTTCTAGGCTTGCGTCAAAAACCAACGACTTCCACAAAGACGTGACTCTCTAGGTCGTCTTCGACATATAACGTTACTCCACCTGTTCTGGAGGTGAATTGCTCTGCAACACGCGCAAGACTCATGGAAAAGCCTATCAAGAAGGCGAGTCATATATTTCTTGTTTTGTAATTAAAGCAATTTTGGGTATTCAGTACGTTTTTTTTTTTTTTTTACGGTTTGGTATGGTTTTAATTTAGGAGCTTCCCCTCTTAGGATGGCCCAGATAAGTCTCTAGTCATGCAAAAGAAGTGTGAGCAGACGAGGAGTCTCGTTTGTAATGGCGTGCGTGAAGCCTTTGGGGGTAAGCAGGGGGAATGGCGAATGAAACTGTCGGCTCCCACCTTCGGGGGGAAAATAAGCTCGGGACTCTGCTCGTGTTTGGTGTTTCACTCAGCGCTCACAGGGGAGGAGGTGCATTGTTCTCATGGCCAATCACGCTTTGATCTGCCAGGCTATTTTGTCTTTGCGTACCCTTTGGTGACCTCTTTTGACGGGGCGATTTCAAACAGCGCCGAGCCTTCGTTGTTCAAAGCACAAATCTGACATGCCTCTGACTTGTTCCTTCAGGAAGAGGTTCTTGCGGTAAACAACGGACTGGGATGGCACTGTGGAGATTGTGTGACACTCCAATTTGTTTACACAGTGCAGCACAGTTCACTCGGTACACCCATGAAGTGTGCAGTGGATGTGAGGAAAGGATTATCATCATTCTCACACAACTTCTCTGTTGAGGGGATGCTACATATCATACAAAGCTGATTTTGTATCTGATCTTGAGCTACTGCATGTTCACACTTCCCTCTGCATGTTCTCAGCTCTCTGGTCCCCACTCCCCCTCCCCTCCCCCAGCCAAGGTGTGATGGGTGTAGATCTCTTTTTGTCTGCTTGCTTTTCACACCAGACTCTATTCACCACTTTGACATCTGCCTGGTCGGAAAATGGCCTTAAATACGGACTCAATCGGGCCTCAGTAACGCAAAGACACCGCCTGGGTGTAGAGGTTTTGTTTGAGGGAACATGTATGTTTAAAATATAAGAGGCTCTAGTCCATCATGCAGTCGATGTTACGTTGGCAAATTCTAGTTCTCAGTTGCTCCGAAATGCCAGAGCCGCTGAATTAGTTGATATTCATGTGGATCTTTTTTCCAAGGCGTATCATTGCGTGTCTGAAACCTAGCGATCCGCCAGCAAGCGTATCACTTGCTGTTTGTGTTCATTGGTGCCAGTGGTGACTCACAGTGGCACAGGGCCTCAAGCTTGGCTTCACCCCGATCCAGTTTTTATGTTGTATGCTTATTTAGCTGCTGTCAGAAAACTTCACGTCAGATAAAGTTCAGCCTATCAGGCCAGCAGAGGCTGTCGAGGAGGCAGAGTGGGGGAATAGGACTCTGGCCAGTATTAGCCATGTCTCGGCGGGTCAGCGTCACGGAGACCTGAATAGGTCACAGGTGGTAAAGGTTACAGTAGATGTGAGATCACTGACAGCGTGCATTCGCTGAACGAAGCTCATACTTTAAAATACCGCAGTGCCACTTTAATACACGATACAAAAATCTCCCCAGGAGAGGCCAAACGCTTTGGCTCTCAGGAATAATACTGCACATTCGCTTATTCTTCCCTTCAGCCCCCATATTGGTTCAAAGCAGCTTTTAAGATTCGTGCGAAGGCTATCATTACCTGTAAATGGGATCCCGTGAATGAGCAGACGGAAGGTTACAGCAGGAGTGAACATTAATGGTATATCGCCTTCTAGAGAGGCCTCTTCTACTGGAAGCTGGCTGATTTGTGTATGCACTTGACCCTGCAAGGCCCCAAAAGGTTCCTCGAGAGGCACATAGGTGACACATAAGTGCACACACAATGATTTTAATCTACCCAGTAGTATTATATAAATTGTGTTTGTCCTGATGTCTTTTCTGTTTTAGTGGAGGAACCATGTTGACCATAACTGGAACCAATCTGGACACCATCAAGGAGCCCAAAATGAGAGCCAAGTATGGAGCTGCCAAGTCAGAAAATGTAAGTGGTCGGATCCAGACACCCACACAGAGTTTTTATTGACAAAACAAAAAAAGCAATGACATGACTTGGCAAGTGAAACGGAATGAGACCAATATAGACGCACAGGTGTCTCTCGCTCCCTCTCCCACTGTCTCTGCTGCCTCCCTCTCTGTGGAAAATCTCATTTTCAGGCAAAACACTCTCGCCTGGGACACGGAAACGGACACACACGCACACACCTGACCCGTCGGTCAACCAGCCATGGGCCCGTTTTCTGTTTGTTTTTGATGTTGAATTTCCTTTTAGCAGTTTAACCTTTGAAATGTCAACCAGCAATAAAGCGGCTCTGGCAAATCCCTCTCTCTTCACCTAGCACCACGGGGCTCAGCTAACCTTTCTCCCGCTCACGGCTGAAAGTAAAAATATCCTTTCTGTCTCCTTTGTCAACCTCTCTGCAGTCATTTTTATTCTGCTCGGTTAATGTTTCTGTTGACATATAAACACAGTTTTGTTCTGTGCCTTTGTGTGTGTGAGCGTTTTCGTATCAGACACACAGGACATAATGTAAAGCTATTCAGCGATCTCTTTAGCCGTGCTGTATTATTTATAAACTGCTACAGGCTGACCTCTCCTGCTTCTCCGTGAGTCATTACAGTCTAATTTGTTCTTCGGTGACTGATTCAAGTGTCGAACCCCACAGGGGATTTCAAGATAATATCAACACTGATTACAACACTGATGTTATTAAGCCAGCCTCTTCCTCATTATGTCGTTATGGAGACATTTAATCACTCGTATCACATTACAGTGTTTCAGCGGTTATAATTGTTTTTGATTACAAATTAGTTAACACATTATTTTCATGATTATTGTGAAATGTACTTTTTTTTCTTCTTGCCTTTACAGCAAACAGCGTAAAAAATGTTTAAAACTTTCTCTAATAGAAAATTAGGTCTCCACATCAAACTTATATAGAAAGTAGATATTTTATCTACTATTCACTATTCTCACTCCCATCTTCCCCATTTTCACTTCTACTCCCTCCTTTCTTCCCCGTCTTTCCCTGTTTGCTCCCCCCTTCTCTAGAACTGCACGGTGCTCAACAACACTGTGATGGTGTGTCTGGCGCCCTCTGTGGCAGGATCTGACAAAGGCTTCTTGGAGTCGGGCAGCAGTCCTGATGAGATCGGCTTTGTCATGGACGACGTGCGCTCCGTGCTGGTGGTAAACGAGACTTTCAGCTACCACCCGGACCCTGTGTTTGAACCTCTGAGCCCCTCGGGCATGCTGGAGCTGAAGCCCAGCTCACCACTCATACTCAAGGTAAATTGACTTGTGCTCTAAGCATTGATCTGTTTTGGCCCTGTCTCTATCTGGTTTTGCTTTACATCCATCACATCCTTTTTTTTTTCTTCTATTCCTTGTTTTTGGTTTTCAACTTCCCCTCTCACATCTTTTTCCTCTTACCTCTCATTTAGTTTTTCAACATTTCTTTCCGTTTTCTGTCGCGTCCGGTCTCCTTTCTTGCATCATCTTTCACACATTATTTCTGATGTCTGTCCTCTCTCCTTTCAAAGGAGACCAGGGGGGGAAATGATTCATACTTCTGAGGGAATAATGTCAGGTTGGAGTTTGTGGGTTTTTTACATCAAGGCTTTTCAACAAAGGCTACACTGTAAAGGTGTAAATATATATATATATATATAAAAATATATATATATATCCTAAAACTCATAAGGACTCAAAAGCAGGTTAGCTGCGTGCTAGAACTTAGTTGAAACTATAGAAGATCAGTAATAGTACAGAACTGAGGTACCAGTGATGTTGAGTATTGTAAGCAACATTAAAAAGATTGCAAATGATTATTTTGCAAATAGTTCTGCGACCTCCAAGTCATTATCCAGCAAGACCAATAACAGGCTGACGGGTCTTTGAAATGATTTGCTCAACCCTGGACAGAATGTTGGCAACCTTCTTCCTCTTTTCTGGACTTTTCTTTCAACACGGCTATCTGTCAGATGTCCCTCAACCATGAAAGATGTTGTCTCTTTGGCTGCTTTCTCTCCTGGGGTTTGGAGACCTTTAAGAAATCAAGTCTCTTCCATAACACCCTCCTTTACAATCTGGTGTAAAGGAAAATCATGTTTATAAAGTGGACCCATGCTATGCCCACTGCTCAGAGTATTATCAGATAACTTCTAAAGTCAGACGTCATAGACTTGCTTACTCTTTGCTATTGAAGCAGTATGCATTTGAGTCCAGAGTGCATTCATAAATGCTTGGTCCCCCCCATTCAGTCTGGCTTTTATCATTTCACCTTTCCCCTTGAACTTCAAAGCGGCAGAAGCGCAAGAGAACATCATCATGCAATTTCATGGACAACAAAAGCCTTTTTTCTCTCGCCAATCAGTGTGGGGTTTTAGAACTGAAGAGTCATGCCTTTCTCTTCTGTAACTTTAAAATATAATTCCATAATGAAAAGCCCCACCTTGCTTCGGGTAAAGAATTGCAGAAATAAGCGGCTCAGGAAACGCATCCTATTAAATAATTGAGGAGAAATTAGTTGTTTTTTATGCAATTATTTCCTCCCACTCCGCAAATTATAGTTAGTTATATTGAGGGGGGTGAGGTAGATGTAGCAGAGGGGAAGGGAAGGGAAGGGGAGAGAATTTCTATGGATTGTAATTATTGTACTTTCCCATTTCTAATGTATTTGGATGACAGTCTTTGGATGGCTTATGCCGGTCCTGACCCACCTGATAATATTCAGAGTATGCACACGTTTCACCATATTTTGGTGCCTGATTATTCAGTTCATTGCGGTAGCACAGTTGCTATGGCTACCCGCAGTTAAAACTACCTTGCACACTTATAGGCGCTGTGTCTGAACACCTGACAGGCACACGCCAGCTAATTAGAAACAAGTATGGGCTTTCTTTTGGCAGCGTGAATCGTTGCTGCCAAAGAATGCTTTCACTCTGTGTAATCATAATTGTATTTGTGTGCACCACGTCAGACTTTGATCTTATGTAAGTAACCAGAATATGTTTGTGTCTCTTTCCAGGGCCGTAACCTAATTCCTGCAGCCCCGGGAAACGCTAAACTGAACTACACGGTGCTGATTGGGGAGACGCCCTGCGTTCTCACCTTGTCTGAGAGCCAGCTGCTGTGTGAGTGGCCCAACCTGACCGGAGAACACAAAGTCACTGTGAGTAAAACTTTTGTATTTGCTTAAATTACTGATTGTCCTGCCACGGTGAGAGTGTCTTTCTTCATTATGTTTACTTGATTTGTCACGCACGGTAAAGTGCATGGGGCAATCCGGGGCAAAGTGTTAATATTCAAATGAAAAGGAGCATCATCCGTCTCCAAGTTCAATTGGTCTATTTTAAGTACCTGTTATTTTGTCGTGCCACTTGCTTTTTAGCATCTGTCGTTCGCATTTCTTTTGGCCTCCCAGCCCATCTTCTTCTAAAGCGCCTGTTCTCAATGTGGTTTCTGCTCTGCTATTCATCCCTCCTCTTTATGTCAATCCATTTCCTGCCGTTTTATTCATTCTACTCATTCTTTCCTCCCCATCCATCAGTCCCAAATCTCTTTAATTACTCTATATTTCTCCTCCCCATTCATATAGCTGCAAGTGCATAAACACACACACACACACACACATCCTGTCTCTTACACCGTTGGCACTGTTTGTGACTGTATTTACGTCTAAGAAGCTTTTGATCGGTCTCTTTTGGCTGGCATCCTCCTTGGGATTTGAAAGTATTGATATTCAATAGAGAGCAAAAATGGCTCGTGGGCGTGAGAGGTCTGTGTCTATTTTTACCCTCCTCCATTTAGTATTTCATAGATGTAAGCAAGCTGAAGATGGAATAAAAGAAGAAGAAGAAAAAGAGGACACGATGGGGGGAAAAAACATACCCAAAGATTATTTTCTTATTCCTGTGTTCTGCAAGCCAGAACTGTTTTGATATGTGCGACTGTGTGTTCGTGTTTCACTGGTTCCAAATGCGGCCCGGGGGCACAGATGTTGCCTCCCTCAACCCAGATATAAAGCGTTTTGGGGAGTTTTGGCCTGCGCTTGGCTCAACACGACACAGCATGCTTTGTCAGTGTAAATGCAAAATGGGATTTAGCACTGGCACCTTGAGTTTTTTTCATCACCATTGCATTTAAAGTGATTGTGGCCAGATGTAACCTGCAAGATTATCACGTCTAATTCATTTTCGATTCCAAAATAAAAATGATTTACAGCTTTGGCTCGAACCTCTGCCAAATAGTTCTGCAAATGGACCTATTTTAAAATGTTATTTCGTGTTCTCTCAACATAATGTAACTTTCCTGTTTGTGTCCATCTACTAGGTGCGTGTTGGAGGCTTTGAATACTCGCCGGGGACCTTGCAGATCTACTCTGACAGTCTGCTCACTCTGCCTGCCATCATTGGTATCGGAGGAGGCGGCGGCTTACTCCTGCTGGTTATCATTGTTGTGCTGATTGCTTATAAGAGGAAGTCGCGCGATGCCGACCGCACCCTCAAGCGGCTTCAACTGCAGATGGATAACCTGGAGTCCAGGGTGGCCCTCGAGTGCAAGGAAGGTGAGTCTTGACAAAACATGATCAGAAGAGAGGTGACGCTGAGCGCTCAAACACAAGCTGCTTGAGTAGTGATTGTATTCTCTGGGTGCCTTTTAATATTCCTCACTTCTTGGTTTGCTCTTTATCTTTTTACCCAAATAACTCCCTTCTCCCCAAATAACTGACAAACTGCGGCAGTTTCCCCTAGAAAACTCCACAAATCCCATTTAAAGGTCCTGTCCATTTCTCCCTGATTTCTCTTCCCCTCTCTATTTCTCCCTCCCTCTTGCTGCCAACTGTCCCCCCCCCGCTGTTAGGTGGCACGAGTGTGTGTGTGTGTGTGCTCCTGTGTGAGGGTGTTGGTGTGTTTCCAGAGGAGTACTTTGATCAGAGCCAGCCACCAGATGTTGGCTCTCCACCCCATGAGAGAGCTGCCTGGCTGGCCTCACTACCATCCACACTGAGAGAGGCAGAGGAAGATGGAGGTTAGATAGATACAGGCCACAGAGGTGGAAAAGTGGGGCATAGTGGGGGGGGAGGGATTTGGCAATCACTGAAGCAGGGGCAGAGAGACTTACACACCAGCACATTAGCATATATTTGGCAGCAAACAGCATGGATCCAGTGAGAGCTTACTGATGCTGTTACTACTTTGTCTGGCAAGAGGGCGAGAAGCAGATGGGGAGAAAGAGAGAAGGAGAATACTAATAACTAAGATCATCAGACTACATTTTAATAAGAGATCACTTCACTTGTTGCTCCGCTTTAGTAAACCTCAACAAGGTAAATACATCACTTGAATGGGTGTCCAAATAACATCGGCAGGTACGGGTTTACTTCACATTAAGGGGCTTACTGCAAGTCACCAACAAAACATCAAAATAACTAAAATAACCCAGACCATATATCAACAGATCAGTCATAATTTAAAAACAAGTATCTTTTTCTTGTTTCAGGAAATTCCAAATACTAACGATTAGACAATAACTCTTCCCACAAAACGCTGGCTGGAATGAACACCATTTCAAGCAGAATGATATAAAAAAGTGAATAGCAAATTCTGATTATCAGACAATGGTAAACATCAACTGTGCCAGTCATCCGCTCAGTGTGTGTGTGTGTGTGTGTGTGTGTGTGTGTGTGTGTGTGTGTGTGTGTGTGTGTGTGTGTGTGTGTGTGTGTGTGTGTGTGTGTGTGTGTGTGTTCGTTCACTTTATTCACTAAACTCTTCATGCCTGCCCCGCTCTTTTTTTGAATTGCAATTACACAGTCACTCACACAAACTCTCACAGTGGGTCAAACAATGATTGGCTGGGGCGTGTGGCTGTGAGTCCAAGTGCCCTGACCCTGTCCGTCCCCCACTGTCCCCACTGTCTGCAAGACGACACCAGGATGGAGCAAGGGAGATAAATAAGGCAACTTGTGAGAGGACAAAAAGGTGGATCTAAAGATTAGGAGAGAGTGGAAAACAAAAGGGGAGGAAAAAATGAATATGAATTTCGAAAACAAGAGAGAGAAAAGGAAGTTGACGTGGCAATAGCGGGAGATAATGCAGCATGGGTATTTCTGTAGACGAGGTGGGTGCACAATTATCTAATATATAAGTTAGATGAAAGACAAGCAGCTAGAGTGATGAGAACAGAGACTGGTTAGAGATGCAGAGAGAGATGGATGGCATGAGTGAGCTAAAGTAACAGAAAGATGGAGGGATGTAGCAGAGGAGGGGCAACCATAGGGGGAGAAAGGTGACCTCTAAGATGTCACTTTGAAGGGGAGAACGAGGGAGAAAAATAGAGATAGGAAGAGAGGGATAGGGTGACACAAGCCATCTGTTAGTCTGCGCTTTGGTTCTTAATGTGTTTGGTTTGTGTATCCATGTGTTAGTGTGTTTTGGGGCACTCTATAGGGCACACACACAGTTGAGTTAATGCAACCATAAAGCTGTATGTGTTCTCCTCGAGGGAGTTTTGTATTTATAAAATAGAATCAAGGCAGTACGGCAAAAAAATAGATATGCACTTTCTTATGGGAAGTGAGTGAGAAATTGGATTTGATCCCATTTGTTCCCTCTAGATGTGACTTGTGAAGCCGCTGGAGTATACGGAACGGGTCAGAACACACACTCGTAGGGAATGGGAAATGTGTAAAAACACTGACACATGCACTCACATTAATCATCTGGGCACAATGTGTTCAGCTGTGGGGCAGGACAGGAAAAAGTCTGCGTGCGTGCGTGCGTGCGTGTGTGTGTGTGTGTGTGAGTATATGCCTGTGTACTCACAAGCTTATGTTCCTGTGTGCACTTCCATCCTGAACTCCCCTCCAGCCACTAAGAACCTGAACGCTTTCCCGTCTCTCTCAGCTGCTCCACACGCCTCCATCTTTTCCACCACATTGTCCCCTCTGATACGTGCTGCTACAGGATTGATTGGGGCATGAATAGTAGAAGCCATTATCGACGGGTTCTAGAGTTTATTTCTAATTCTACTATTTAAAGTTGAATTATCTGGACCACGGTTTGTGTCTGTTTTAAAGGGATAGTTCAGATTGTGTGAGGTTATTATCCCTGGTGAGTGTACTGTATTAACTGCGTACTGGCAGGCGAGTCTTTTAGCTTCGCCATTTTCTTTGCACTCGCCCTGGTGTGACACCCGCACGCCAATCCGCTGTGTGCGGCTAAACTCACACTTGACCACTTTGGTTTCGCATTACCTGGTATATATTTTTTCAGCGTTAGTGGTAATAAGAAGATTATGACGAGCAAATAATTCACTTTTGACAAAAATTGGTCCGTAGCGGGATCTCTGCCCCCCATGAACTCAAACGGGCGGACTGGAGACTCCCTGTTCTGTGTTTACACCGCAGATGGAATAACCTGTTTGTGCATTGGTTGTCATCGCCGTGGGGCGGCTTTTTAAATCACTTCAACCGTAACACTCCTTCATGCGTGGCACCAATATTGACCGTTAGTTGTTCAGGATGAGTTAATTCTATCTATTAGTCTGTTGGTCAGGGAGCAAAAGAACATCCCTAAGAGCAAAGATATGTGAGCAGCAGCAAAACATGGTTTCACTTTGAATTCAGTTTACTGTCCAAAATCACCTGACGGCTCGATAAACCTGCAGAAATCTTCTACATGTAGTGACCACTGAAACAGATTTTGATTTTGTTTGGCTGAGTCATTCATTTAGGTGCCTAAAAAACACAGCAGTATGATGGTTTGCTTGCGTACTGGTTCTCCTCTCTCCAAACTGGGGGCAAGCCAACCACCATCTGCTGTAGGTGTAATACACTACTATGGATATGTACCTCATATTAAAACACTGGTATCCATGTCATGTTTCCTAGAAAAATAGTCTTAAGTGTCTATTTGTTTTTTATTGTGAATCTGCTGACAGAATGCTCAATGTAAAATGGAATGATTTGTCATCAATATCACGATATCAGTGTCAGTTTCCATATTAAATATTTTTGTCACCTGAAACAAAAATTGAACCGCAGCACAACGCCCACGATGTATTTCTACTTTGCGCAGCCTTTGCGGAGCTGCAGACGGACATCCACGAACTCACTCAGGAGCTGGACGGAGCAGGAATCCCCTTTCTGGAATACCGCACCTACGCCATGAGAGTCCTCTTCCCTGGGATTGAGGACCATCCTGTGCTTAAGGAGATGGAGGTACGGGTCAGTAGACGGCTCTTCATTCTCACACACACACTCCCTCACAGTGTGAGTGTAAGTTGTACTGTACGTCTGTTTGGATATGCCATCAGAGATTTAGAAAAAATGCAAAGCAATGACTTTGGTCCATAGAAAAAATGAAAGGGATCTAGAGTTTGATTCGGTTCTTAAGGTTTCCAAAAGTTTCAGAAATCAATATTCTGTGGAGCAAAACATTTAAACATGAAGATAGATTTTTATTTTAATCTGCGAGTTTGCGCTGTCTGGGCCAGGGGTTGTTCAGGGTTACGCTTTAGAGGAGAAACATTAAAGAGTTCCAATAAAAAAATTAAATGCAAATTAGACGTTTGAAACTCTTGACTTGTATCCACCAAATGTCTTTCATCCGAAGCAGCTCCGTACTGGAGGGGTCAAGGCAGGAGAAGCTTAAGTCTCAAACTAGACAAAGATAACTTGGTGATCCAAGCTCTTATCTCAAATTTGCCGTAATGCAATAAAGGGAAGGATCTTCTTCTTTCGGGAGTGAGCAAAGTCCAAGACCGGGTGACTGTGCAGGATCAAACCTGTCTGAGGCTTCTGAAAAGCAATGCTCAATAAAACCTCTCCCCTCCACTACTACTCCTTTTTCAAGAGGGAACAATATCGCTCGTATAAAGCCAGGCTGCGTAGACACTGTAATGCAGCATGCACACAAACCTCCATTTCCCAGTATACATTAGACTGTCACACATACATCACAGGGAAATGCACACTAGCGCAGCACTGACATGCACGTATGGCGGCGACTTTAGGGACGGCGTTTTAAGAGATGCCGTATCTGCTCGTGCTATCAACTGTATTCCAAAGGGATGGTGCAGCGCGGCATTGGATTTTCATTTGTATGGCCCAAGCAATCACAGGCCACAGTAGTGCGCTAGTAAGGAGATCAATTTCTTATTACAGCATGAAACTCACATTCTCCCTCCAAGCCTCCGTTTCTCTCCCTCAGAGGGGGAGACCTGCCCGTTGCTTTGAAGGAAGAAGGGAATGGGTGGAGAGGGGAGGCTGCGTGGCATGGGGGGGGGGGGGGGTTAAAGAGAACTGGTAAAACGGGAGGGCATTGGGACAACAATAGGAAGACTAAGTGCAAACCCTAAAAGAATTGTCGTATTGATGATTTATAAGCAGATTTTCCCTGTTTGTAGATACATAAGTTGTTAGTGTATCTGCATGTGTGCACGTGGGGCCCCTTTTCCAATATCATCTTATATTCCTCATTCTCTCTCATACTCATGAATCAATTTCTCAACTGTAACTCACATCTCCCTCTTCATGCTGATCTCCTGGCCCTAATTCACTCTTTTCTGCACCTCCCTCCTACTAATATTCTCCCCTTTTTTCCTTCCGTGTAACTTTTCTCCAATTCCTCCTTCCTTCCACTTCTTTCTGTCTTCTAACTTTCCACCCCTCAATCGCACTCCTTTCCCTCCTTCTTGGCCGTTTTCCCCCCTTAACCTTTACTCTACTTTCACACCCGCCATCCGCTCTTCATCCCTCTCCTCACACTCCCATCATCACCTCTGTGCCCTCCTATCCAGGTCCCCGCTAACACGGAGAAGGCCCTGACGTTGTTCGGCCAGCTGCTGACCAAAAAGCACTTCCTTCTGACCTTCATCCGCACCTTGGAAGCCCAGCGGTCCTTCTCCATGCGAGACCGCGGCAATGTGGCCTCCCTCATCATGACGGCGCTGCAGGGGGAGATGGAGTACGCCACGGGCGTCCTCAAACAGCTCCTGTCTGACCTCATCGACAAAAACCTGGAGAGCAAGAACCACCCGAAGCTCTTACTCAGGAGGTATGAAAACACAGAGGGGTTGAAACAACTCGGGCAAAAACATGTCACAGAAGCCTGAGGGGGGAGGGGAGGGGAGTTTGAGGTTACGTCACTTTTGTTTATTATTCTTCTCGCTGGTTTTGAGCGTCTTTGGGGTGAGACACCCCACTACAAGTGGGTACCTTGAATATTCAGCCTTAAAGAAAGAAGGAAAAAGCTACGTAATCGCTACACGCGTTATGGTGCCAAAATGAATAGTGAGAATGTAAAAAAAAAAAGATTTGTTTTTTCGTGCACAGCTGAAGTTGCGAAGCAGGAAGGCACTGGGACCGAAGCTCTTAGAGGTCTATGTGACATTACCTTGTCTCCATCTCTCAACCTTGTCCCTGTCAGGGAGGATTACACTGCTGAGTACACACACACTCCCAGTAGAGCTGCAGTCACACACTCCTCCATCCTCTCTCACCCCCACGCAGTTAGAAAGGCAGAAAGGGTAAAGGTACGAGGAATAGAGTGGATGCAAAAGGAAACAAGAGGAGGATTTACAAGGCGAAGGGTGAGGAATGGAAAGAGAATGGATTGGTAAAAGGGAAAAAGGCAAAATGAGGAGCAGTGGAGAGAAAGCATGTGATAAGAAAGAGGTAAAGGCAATGAGAGAAAGGTGGATGGTGCGGAGGGAAGGAGAGACATGGTGATTGACAGAAGGAGAGGGTGAAATGTCTTAAGGGACACGTGGGCTGAGGCAAATTGAGGAAGGAGAAACATGGGGGGGGTAGAAAAGGAAGGAAGAATAGAAAGGTTGTAGGAAGGGGCCATATGTTGAAGAAGAGAAGAGCTACGATAGACAGACAGGAAAAAGATACACGTGTTTAAGGAAAGGCACAATTAAAGAAATTGCCTCCAAATAAATTGGAACTAGGCATTAAATGATAAAAAGTTTTTTTTTTTCTCTCCTCTGAGAGATATTTAATTAAAAATCAAATCAAATAAATGACTCTTAGCCAGTGTGCCTATGTGAAGCTTTTTCCAATCCCCCCCTTGGTGCGTATGGTTACAACACGCGGTCCCTGCTAACTACACTAGCCTCGGGAGCTGGCCGTAATAAGCTCGGCAATTATTACACATGGTGCACCCTGGTTTTGGTGTTCCTGCAATAGATAGACTTTACAACATTTTTTAAACATTCATTTATTTTTAGACATGCACCCAGAAAAGCCAAATGCCTAATAATCTGCTCCCTTGTGAGCTCTTCTCTCCCGTGGAAAGATGACACCCTGGCATTGGGTGCATTTGTTGAGATTGGCACATTATTGGCACACACTCCTTGTGTTTGGCCGGGAAAGCTACAGCAAACCTCTTTGTACTGCATGGTTACAATCTTTGTAACGAGTGATGCAGTGACATGGTTTTCCCGAATGAAATTATGTTAAAATTCACCCACTATCATGTCCTGACATGGCCAAAAGCGTGTTCTGTCCAGGTGTATTTGCCTCCATCGTCTTCCATCCTTCCGTTCCAAGTTGCCTCATCTTTCATCCGCGATATTTTGCTGACAGCCATGAAAAAAAAAAAGAAAATTGCTCCACATACATCAAACAAAAGTCAGGGAGGGATGCGGAAGCGTAGGAGTTCACGTCTCGTTCCTGCTACAGGCCCTCGCTGATATCACCAGCACACTGGCCTAGTTTCTTGTTTTTCCCGTTTTTTCTTACTACTTCTCATTTGTCATAAGACAGAAAAAAAAATTCTGCGCAGTTGATGAGAAAATATGTTGCTATCCTGTCATTTCTCAACAGAATGTGCCTTTCTGCTCCTCTGTGCACATGGTGCCTTGCTAATGACACAAAGACGAATGTTTAAAAGACGTGTGGGAATGTGCCCCAGATAGGCAACCCACTAACCCAGCAGAGGGCTCCTTCGTACCCCCCCATTTATCTACGAGAAATAAGGACTGGATAGTTAAGCAGTCTTTCTGTTTCTTCCTAATGTGAAAATGTGGAGGTAAATCTGAGGATGATGGGGAGAAATAATCACTCTCCTCTCTCCCACATACCGTTAGTATGCTCCCTTTCAGCTGTTTAACAAATTAGACGCAATAAGTCCATTAATTACAATGTCTTTAATTGCTGTGTTTTCATTCGCTGAGTGTTCACGTGTGTTCCAAGACTGTGCACGTGTGGAGGTTCCCCTTATTACACGGCAGGTTTGTGATTAACGAGAGAAGTTAGTGAATTATACTAATTGCTGTTTTTCTAATGAAGACAAGTAGGTTTGCGTGTGTGTGTGTGTGTGTGTGAGTGTGTGTGTGTATCAAAACCAATGAATTAAGGGGGGGGGGCGGGGGTTGCCACGGTATTTTGTTTAAATGTAGGGTTCATTGGTTATGTGCTGCTTTTGAAAGCTATTTCTCCCTCTTACTCTTTTTGTGTTATTTCCTTCTCGCCCTTCACCTCCTTCCCCTTCCCTTCATCGCTGTCCCAGGACGGAGTCAGTCGCTGAAAAGATGCTCACCAACTGGTTCACCTTCCTGCTCTACAAGTTCCTCAAGGTAAAATTGTCTGTCACACGAAAATATGCACACGGGACACACACGACTTTTGCAAGCAATAGCAAAAGCGCTGCGGTTTGAGAATGAAGAAACGCCCCTCTAACTCCCACATTGACAGCTGCAGCATTAGATAAGGCGGAGGTACCTTTCCCCCACCTTTCATGTGGTAAATTCTCCTTTCTCAGAATTGAGGAAAATGTAGTTTGAGGTGGTGTTCAGACACAGCTGGACATGTTGTTGTGATCTCCTTAGCCCGTAGTAATAATTTGTCATCTCTTTGTGTCCCTGACTGGAATTATTTTACAGCCAAGAAAGTGTGTGCGTACGCATGTGTGTGTTTGTATTCCCCTTCAGAGCCACTGGGATTAGAATAAGAGGAAAGCATAGATCTTACACAAATGCATTCTCTCATTTCTCTGTCTGTCTCTCTCTGTATCTGTGTTTCTTTCTCTCTTTGAATTCTTCTCCCTCAGATATAGAATCAGAGACACTTACTGAGGCTTAAAAATGCTCCAAATTCTTGTTTCCACATACAGACATTGTCTACATTCAAACATAGGGTGTGTGTGTGTGTGTGTGTGCGTGTGCGTGTGCGTGCGCGCGTGTGTAGGTGTGGTTCAGAGACAGGAGGGTGGGTCACAATGGAGAAGATGTAGAATGAAACGGTTCAGAAGTGGTTGTGGATACGAGAGGAGACGTTGGGGATGTGAACAATGTTTTAGAATGAAAACTGAAGCGAAGACCTAAAGCGCCTCTTTCTCCTGACATTTTAGCGGTCATGTAAAGAAATGTAAAGGTTCAAAAAGGTGTGAACAGACGAACAAAGACAAAACAAACAATGCTTTCATTATATTATATTTTACTACTGTATCTACCTGTGCACTGACTCGATTGAGGGAGTGGGCTGGTTGCATGGCCACTCCATTTCTGCACCACAGGTTATGTGCTGTTTCAAGTCAAATTGCAGATTTTGCTTTTATTTTCTGATGCTCTATGGCACCCTTAATCCATAACATGAGAATCAATAGAAAGGATGCATCATAATAGTTGTTACTGAGCGGCTCCCTACTCATTCAGGGTCATTCAGTCAGAAGCAATCGGCAACCGCACCGATGTGTGCCCCAAATCCTAAACACTGTCCCTCCTAAATAGGCACTGAGAAGGGGTGGAAGCAGGCAGTGCTTGTTTGTCAGACCAGCTGAACCACTGCGAGGATACGGAAAAGGCGGGCGAAGGAGAGACGGGGTCCCTACATCCCAGAGCCCGTTGCCTGGTTGACATGTCTCACACAGCAAAGTGCTTCTCCAAGCGTTTTTCACCCCTCAGTCGTTAACCTTCTATTAACTCCTCAATCAATTGCCACTCATTCACACTCACAGTCTCAATGATTCCTCTCCTTTTTGGTCACTCACTTACTCACACACACTAGCAGCGATTTACAAAGGGTGTTTTTCCCCAAAGAAGAGACACTGGGGAGATGCTAGAGTGTGTATTTGAGGGAGAAAGAAGTGTGTGTGTGTGTGTTGTTTTCTGTCAGTTTTAAGAGCACCATTAGCCAACACAGGCCACGGCCTTGTCCTTTACTGGTCCGCCTGTGGTTGGTTTCAAGAAGATTAGAAAAATAATTGTAGTTACTCAGCAATGTTACACTTTTTGCTGTTGTGCACTTTTTCATGGGTTTCTGCACAGTTGCATTCATAGTGGCCATTTTACCAATCTGTCTTTCTCTTGTTTTTTTATCCATCCCCTTTGTTGTTTCATTTCTACCCGCTTCCTCCTTCTTACTTCCTTCTATCGTTCTCGTCCCCTTGCAGGAGTGTGCTGGTGAGCCTCTCTTCATGCTGTACTGCGCCATGAAGCAGCAAATGGAAAAGGGACCAATCGACTCAATCACAGGAGAGGCCCGCTACTCCCTCAGCGAGGACAAACTCATCAGGCAGCAGATTGACTACAAGACTTTGGTCAGTACGCTCGCAAGTGAAGACAAACAGTTGGACAGCACCTTTGGTCTCATCGGGATAAAACCGATGCACACCTACCTTTGACACAATGCATTGACATGGATATTTTTTGTGACAACACAGATAATCTGCAACTCCCAAAGGGGAAAACAAATGGAGCCTCTCATTCTGATGAAGCAAACCTTTTAATAGTAATTAAGAGCTGCGTGTGCCCTGTTGGTGGTTAAATATGGATTTCTAATGGCAGTATGAAATGTTGATTTGCAGATGAAAAAACAGGGTCATGTACCCACATATCAAAAAGTAACACTCCCATTCTGAACTGATTTCTTGTGCTAAATGTGAGCGGTACCTTTATGCCTCTGACCTCTGCCTCCGTAGACGCTGCACTGTGTGAACCCAGAGAATGAAAACGCTCCGGAAGTGACAGTGAAGAGCCTAAACTGTGACACAGTGACGCAGGTGAAGGAGAAGCTGCTTGACGCTGTGTACAAGGGCACGCCGTACTCCCAGAGACCAAAGGCCTCCGATATGGATCTGGGTAAGGAGAAGGAAAACACAACCACACAAATTCAAGGTATACACTCAGCACAGGTGCATTACCACAGGAGGTTACGAGGGAATCTCTGAAACAGTCGGGGGACTTCTAGAGAAGAGTCTGTACAAAAATATGTTTCAAGTCAGGCTAAATGGGACTAAAATAGTGGATTGTTTGTTTTTCAATTTCTTCTCTTTCTGCGTCCCTTTAATTTCACTGGAACTTATTTTTCTGTTTGCAGAGGGATTCCTTGCAATGTCCCTCTTCTCAACCTTACCTGTATCTCCTTCTTGTGTGTGTGTGTGTGTGTGTGTGTGTGTGTGTGTGTGTGTGTGTGTGTGTGTGTGTGTGTGTGTGTGTGTGTGTGTGACAGAATGGCGGCAGGGTAGGATGGCTCGCATCATCCTTCAGGACGAGGATATCACAACCAAGATAGACAACGACTGGAAGCGACTCAACACCTTGGCTCACTACCAGGTACTCAAGCACAATATAAACGACGCGATGCTTCTTCAGACGGTGAAAGCTCTCTCCATCTTGTCGCTGTCGCAAGGATGAACTGATGGATCAACAAGGCCCACGATAGAAATAAATCCTGGGCTTTGTTGTGTTGTCCCTAAAAATGTCGTATACACTTGTTTGAACAATAACTACTCATCGATGCACATCATTGTTGCTTTGAGATTCATGCAAGAACTGTCTGCGTTACGGTTGTGATGTTTTTTTGGTTTAATTGAGCCCATTGAAATATAGCAGTTTTCATATTCAATCACTCTCGTGTCATTCAATAGAATGCCTCCTTCACAGGAGGTAACGTTGCAGTGATTGTTTGTGTGGTTGGACTCTCTATTGCTGCTGGACGATTTGTGCGGTTCTGACTGATGTTTTTGAATCCGGTTCCAGGTGACCGATGGCTCATTGATCGCCCTGGTGCCTAAGCAGAACTCTGCCTACAACATCTCCAACTCCTCCACATTCACCAAGTCCCTCAGCAGATACGGTACGAGAGAAGGTGTGTGTGTTTTGTGTACATGTACATCAGTGTGTAAAGCTGTTTGAATCCGTCTCCTAATTTGATTTGTGCAAATGCATTTCAAACAAGAGATTAGCTCGAGAAGTGTTGGACTACTTGGTGCCTCTTTTATAATTAGTTTAACCTTAAACTAATCTTGAATTTAAAATGATTAGCAGATCAAATGCTTACACCAGTGCTGTAACATTTCACGCAAATAGCCATTGGTGTACTTATGTCATTGATATATTGTTGGCAGTGAAAAATAATTGCAAACCTCTGGAGCCTGTTGCATTCTGGGTGTTTCCAACGTGTGATTCAGCCAGACCGTTCGTTCACAGACCGTACATTAACTGTCTCTGAGCTCGTATGTGTACGTCACGCACACCTAAACACTCACAAACACACCAAGCTACCTTGCTCTGTACTTCCTGTATCACACTCTCCTGACATTTTGAACCTCTCAATCCTTTCCTGCTTTGTCGCGGAAGTGACAAGCATTCAAACTGACAGTGCAGTGCTTCGAGTCACAAAATAGGAGATCACTGTCCAACAAAAGGAGGGAGAGAGGGATGGAGAGTGACAGACAAATTTATTCTGAAATGAAAGAGTGACTTGAAAGAAGAGGCTGTCACCTTTCAGAAATGCTTTTTACCTCACGTAGAGATCTTTCTTTCCGTAGCCGTCTTTCATTTGTTATTCATGTTTTCATACCTTAATTTATAGGTACGTGTCCTTGAAGTGTTGATTAAGATTAAATTAAATCTACTTTCATGCAACTACAAACTGGCACCACGCTACGGGTTTCATGTGTTATCAGATTATGTCTATTGAATTATGCCGCTACTTTCTCAAGATGGATTAAGACTCTAAAACATGTCTTGTGAAATATGTTTTCCATAAACTCAAAACGAACACTCTGACCTGCCTCTCTCCCTATTTACATCCTTTCCCCATGATGCTTAAATAAAACTAATGTTACAGTCCACAACTTGCTGCTCTTCCCGTGTTATTTTTGGCCTACTCCCTTAATTTCCCCCTGTGTCTCCTCCCTCCAGAGAGCATGCTGAGGACGGCCAGCAGTCCAGACAGCCTGCGCTCCCGAACGCCCATGATCACTCCGGACCTCGAGAGTGGCACCAAACTGTGGCACCTGGTTAAGAACCACGACCACTCAGACCAGAGGGAAGGGGACCGAGGGAGCAAGATGGTTTCTGAGATCTACCTGACCCGTCTGCTGGCCACCAAGGTATCAAGGAGCTGTACATTTAAACACACGCACTTCAAACGTCTACATTTAAACAAAAAAGAAAACACTCCAGCACATCCCTCCCGTGAAGCCCACTTTCCACAGCAGACTCTACCCCTGACCTTTGTATGGTGGTGGTCTCAATGCTCATTAACATTTTTCATAACCTTTTGGACAAAGACTCACATATGCTCAGGAATTAGTGATTGTGTCTTAATTAGGAGGTTGACCTTTGTCTATTGAGCCGTTTGGTCGGTGTTACTCGGGCCTCTGTTGGTGGCCTCAGGGCTTTCAGGCTCAGGCCTTTAGCCTGTGATCATTAGTCACCAAATTCCTCCTTGTTCCGATGATGATCTGAAAGGTTACTCGGAGTCGGGCTGTTTGTGTTGATGTCCTGGATATAGATACCTCAGTACGTTCTACCTCGATTAGTTAGCTTCTCATGCTTGTAGTCCAATGCACCAATGTCAATGTTAATCCTTAATCCCAATTGTTAATCCTAGATTTGCTCTGAAAGCTGGTTTGTTTTTTTAGCCTTTTTAACTTAACCAGCACTTCGGCAAAGACTCAATAATCATACCGGAATATGATATATATATATATATATATATATATATATATATATATAATATATAACAAATATAAATAATAATATATATAACAAAAACTACTAACTCATTAACAAATAGTTTATAAACACAAACACTCAACTACTGCTCACAGAGTCTAGTAACTGTGCCAGGCCTTTGCTCTTATTTGCATGCACTGCTTTGGGGATTCAATATGATACTTCCCCTCCCTGGATTTTTCACTCATTGGTTCTAGATTTCCATTGTTCCAGCTCCTGGTAGGAGAGTGTAAGGTCAGCGGCACAATGCAGCCTCAATTGGGAAATGATTAACATGCAAGCCAGCGGAAGACAACAGAGGAAAACTTGGATCACTGCGGTTTATTCTTATTTATTACTTTGTGTTTAGGAGGCTGATTTGTGTTGTGTGTAGTGCGAAACTGAATTCAACTTCTGGCTGGTTTCAATGACGTTTTGTGAAAGGTGGCCAGGGTGCTTAAAGATGGAAGATGATGTGCTTAACCCTTGTGGGATACATCAAAAAGTTGACTTAAGAGGACATTGTGAGGATTCAGAAGCGATGGGTAAAAAACATTGCAGAACCGCCTTAGGCTGAACTCACAATGGGGCCCCATAATAAATATTGTAAATAACACTCTGCATCATAACAAACCCTCAACCGAAAAAGGTGAAGTGCTAAAAATGTTTTAGTACTGCTAGTGACAGCCATCGCCTCCGGCCAGCAAAAAGGAGATGGACGTTATAGAAAACGGAAGACACAAGAGAAAAATAAATCAATAAAGCTTCTCCTGCAAAAGAGAACTAAGCCAGTGCTGGTTCTCCTTCTCAGGGTACACTCCAGAAGTTTGTGGATGACCTGTTCGAGACCATCTTCAGTACCGCGCACAGAGGAAGCGCCCTGCCTCTCGCCATCAAGTACATGTTTGACTTCTTGGACGAGCAGGCGGACAAGCACTCCATATCAGACTCTGACGTACGGCACACTTGGAAGAGCAACTGGTGAGTTTGTGCGTGCATCATGTGCACATGTTTGTTAGCATATATGGGTTTCATTGATGTCGCGCAGTAGTGTGGAAGCATATTTTTGGTGGTGGTGCGGCACACTGTACGGTGCATTTCTGTTTTATCACCCAGACGCAGCCTTTTAGCAGCTGCAGTCATTGTTGTGGTCTTTCCACCTTGATAGTCCTTCTAACTGTGCAACTCCCTCCGCTCTCTCCTTCCCCCTCATTCTTCCTCCCGATCCTTCCAGTCTTCCTCTTCGGTTCTGGGTGAACGTGATCAAGAACCCCCAGTTTGTCTTTGACATCCATAAGAACAGCATTACGGACGCCTGCTTGTCAGTGGTGGCTCAGACCTTCATGGATTCCTGTTCAACATCAGAGCATAAGCTAGGCAAAGACTCTCCTTCCAACAAGCTGCTCTACGCTAAAGACATCCCCAACTATAAGAACTGGGTAGAAAGGTACGCGGACAAAACTTCTCAATTTAAAGCAGTTTCAAAGTGCTTTTGTCAATATCTAAACTTCTCTTCTCTTTTTTCTCGTCCAGGTACTACTCTGACATCTCCAGGATGTCGGCCATCAGCGACCAGGACATGAGTGCCTACCTGGCGGAGCAGTCGCGCCTGCACGCGAACCAGTTCAATAGCATGTCGGCCCTCAACGAGATTTACTCCTACATTGTTAAGTACAAGGACGAGGTGAGATGTCGGCCATTTCTACGGTCACATTTAATGACAGTTTTACCCTGATTGTTGGCAGTTCCATCTGACCTACATTGAGGTTGTATTTTTGTGCTAAGACTGCGTCTAGAGTTTTCTGAAGGTTTCTCCAGAAGGCTTATTGTAAAAACACTAATTTCCGTCATCGTGAACAGATTTAACACGTTCAACTGAAGCACCAAGTACATGAAAAGCACACGAGCGAACATGTCCTTTACCACACTTTAACTCCGTCATTTCCTGATTGCAAGTAAATCCAGACTCACAAAACGTCCTCCGTGATTACCTGGTGTCTTGTGTAATGTACAACCTAACAAAGTTGTGTCACACTCACCACTGGGCTGCTCTGTGCTGGAAGTATTGACTTTCATGGAAAAGTAAGTGAAAGCGAATAAAGTAGTAAATTCTGTTGTCAGAGCAGCGTAGTTGTGAGTACAGCTTGACTGTTTTAATTGGTGCTGTGGAAAGTGACATTATACAGGAATGCGAACACCACGCTTTTCGACGCCTCACGCTTTTTTCACGTCAGTTTGGGTGACAGTTTGTGAATCGTTCAGAAGTTTTTTTTTAAGGAGGGCGCGGGTGGGGTCTGATTATAATTCAACAGTAATTTGCGCGCCAACAGCTGACCAACAATAATGATTCAGGGCTCTTAAGTGTCACGCATTGAGCGTGACAGTCACTCATTTCGGTCTCTAGTCGCACTCCCGCCACACGTCCGATTTCTTAAAAAAAAAAAAACGGTCCGAGCCACGTTGGTTCCTCTTCAACCTTCCCCCCGCCCATCGGCCGTAACGTCCATATGTATATGAGTATTTGCCGCGGGGCGAGGGCTTCAATTACCTCTCTATTTTTTGACCATACATGTGCATCCCTGATTATAACACATTTACTTTCTATTTGATTTTCTATTCATGGTGTGCATCAACTAAAAACTGGCAGGTGGCATGTTGCTGTCCCGCTTGCAGCCTTGTTTGGGAACAACAACGTAATGCCTGGAAAGCAAAAGCAGGCACGTTGTGACACTGACTGTCGCCTCTTCCTCAATCCGTCCTCAGATTTTGTCGGCTTTGGAGCGGGACGAGCAGGCGAGGAGACAGAGACTGAGGAGCAAGCTGGAGCAGGTCATCGACACAATGGCACTGAGCAGCTGAGGACCATCCAGCACCTCCATCTCCTCCTTCTCTTCACTCCTCCTCCATCCGTCTCTCTCCGGCGCTCCTCTCACTCAGACAACAAACAAAACTCCAAACCCCAACAATACGACGGACAAACTGCAAAAGGACCATGGCAGTTTACTGCAAGCGGCGGCAGGGGGGGAGTTCGGCAGAGATGGGCCGGCCTGTGTACGCTTACATGTGTATGTGTGTGTTTGTCTGCAGCCCCATACAGTGTGTGGGCTTGTGTTTATGTGAGAGACTGGGACACCAGACATTTCACACATGCATACATGGAGAAGAAGTAGACTGACAGCATTTGGTTATTGTGGATGTAGGTGTTTGTTGTTTGCTTGATTTTGATTTCAGGAGTTTTGTCGTGATGAAGAAATGGTCAGGAAAAAAAACAATGGAAGCCCGGAAAGAAACTCGACATGGTGTCATTAACAGAATGGACCAATCTGTTATGAGCCGTTGCAGAAAGGCTCCTTAGGTCATGTGACTCTTAACGGGTGTCAGTTTTAAAGGATGTTAGGTTTTTCTTTTCTTTTTTTTGTATAGATGTAATCAACTGCCCACTCTCTGATCTCTCGCCACTTGTATTACTGCTGAATTTGCACAATTTACAGAAACGTTACAGAGGAAGATGATTTAGATATTATATGGAAATACAGCAAAACAAGTTTTCAAAGAACGATTAGACAGAAAAAGAAATACATTTTTGTTGTTTTTCATTTAAGCCGACAAACAATGAAAAGGACACACAATTTGATCTTTCAAGTACAAAAGAATAAACAACGTAGACAAAAAAGAACAACAAAAAAAGAAACAAAAAAGTCGTACTGTGCCATGTTTTCTTTGAATGTTGTTTAGTGCAAAGACATTTTGTTAGATGGATTGTGCTAGCGTATGATTTTAAATATGAACATGCCTACTGACTGAAAAGAACTGCTCGAGTATTGACCCATCATGAGATCCTTGTTGGGAACGACGGGAAGCGAGGGTTGTCGTCGTCCTCCTCCTCCTCCTCCTCCTCCTCGTGTCAGGACAGTTCATGGCATTATGGTGAAAACATGAAGTTGCTGTTGTTTAGAATTCAATCAGTGCAATCTTTTGGTTTCAGACAACCAAATATATACTCCCAGGATTGTTGCTTTCTTGTGGCACCATGGCTGGGTCTGTTCTTGAGGGCCAAGAGGTGACAGTAGAGTAGATCACGTCATAGTAACTGGACAATGAAGTAGATACATTGCACTACCTGAAATATCTCTGATCGGCCCGATACCACGAAGCCACCGTATCCAACACTGACGAGTCCACACGACCCGCGCTTGTGTCGGACCTTGGACGGCTGGTTCTGAAACGGTGGTTTTGGAGAAAAGCCAAAGTACGTGTTGGTGCTCTCTGACGCTGTCTACGTCTTCACAGGAGCGACAGTGAGGTAGAGCTTAGCTGGGCCCCTTTGTAGTGAAACAAAGTGAGAAAAAGTGGTTTCAGCCTAAAGGCACTTTTTTTCTTTTTCTCCATGTCAACACTCCGATAGAGGGACAAGGAAAAGATATCTCTCTACACCTCTAACCTGTCTCCTCCAGACAAGGGTTTTAGTTTTCTATCCATGAGGGGGGATGTAGAAAGATAAATAGGTGAGACACCTCTGTTCATTAGCTACACAAGGCTGAGTAATCCTCTCCTCAGCCTGCAGCTCTTGTTCAGAACTAGCCTACTGCCATGTGTGGCTTAAGCCTTTTTTATTACTTCTCTCTGAAGAGGTTTTATTTGTTTCTTTTTTCTTTACGTCAGGGCTTTTTGACTTAATGCTGAGAAATAATGTTTTCCGATAATTATTTTCTGCTTGCCGAAAAAACCAAACTGTGGTCTGTAAAATGTTTCTGTCGATGTTTTCATTTGTAAATTGTATACTTTTTCATGATGAACAAAAGCTGTTTGCCATTTTTTTGTAATCAGGTTGTTGGTTCTTTTGTCTTTATTTTGTAACATGTAAATTGTACATTTTTACGGTACAGAGAAGACAAAATTCTCTTCAGTTTGCCTGAAGTTGAAGTACTTGAGGGTTATTTTCTTGATCTCAAGGATCAAAATGAAATTATTGCATCAGATGAGCATCCGTGTGTTTGTGATGGAAATGTGACTTGCTGCTTTAACTCTCGTATCAAACATTTTTTTATCAAACATTAGGGCTGTTGTTTTATGCTGATCATGGATGCTGTCGCTCACCATTTTAATGCCAGGTTCCTTAAAAAACGAAACGATCTACTCTCAGATACAGGAATAGTGACTAATTCTCCCAAATTAATATCGACACACCATATTGTTTACATGCCTGAGATGTGACATTACTTTCTACAGCTGCAATATCAGTCTGGTTCAACTGGATATCTGTAGGGACTTGATAGTTCACTCTGTACCTGCCAAAAACAATCATAAGGGACCACCACTGACCATGTTAGCGACACACAATAAATACTGTCTGAAAGGCCTGCAAAACCACCACCAAAACATGCACAGCTCAAAGCATATTTTTCTTTTTTTATCTCCAGTGTACAGCTGAGCTTTTGCTGCATTTGTACATTTTGGTGCTGCTACTGTAGATCACACGGAAAAGAAATAGATGATTGTTGAGGCCAGAGCTCAGCAGTGCTGTTAACAGCAGTTCTGTGAAGGATCAGTTTGAGCCCGATGTACACTGGGGACAAATACACTCGCTCCCTGCAAAGCACACAGGCGAAAACCAAGTGAGGCAACCGTGCTCAGATGGTGATCTGCCAGGCTACTTTTAAAAGATACTTAAACATTCTCAATTCATTCTCAGGTTCATGCTCCATGTGTGTTGTATTCTGGTTGTAATCTGGTTTGAGTGCTGTGGGAGTCGGCTAGTCTATCGTTTGCATGGCTACTTGCCTTTTATATTGACCTACTGATGCAAGTCTGGATGCATATTTAGAAATACTTCCCAGTCAACACTGTTTAGTGGGCTAATTGACTCGTAATAACTGTTGTGGAGGTGGTTTACAGTCTGTTCTCGAGTGTTTGGTGTCATCAAGAGGAAGCGGGCATCAGCTGACTGAAGAACTTCAAAACAACAACATGTCGACTGCGGTTTGAAAGAGTTGCTGGGTTTAATGCTGTCAAATCAGGACACGTGAACAAGTACTGCACTGGCTTCAGTATGAGCAGGATGTATCTCATGTATAAATTCTCAGCTCTTTATTCGTGCCCAGTCACGGTTTTACCTTCCAAAAAAAAATCTCCTGGTTAAATCAAATGCAACTCCTGGCACGATTCTGTTTTTATTTATTTTTCTGATTTTTTGTTTTCTTCGATTTTGTTACTTTTTGTTGTTGTTGGATGTCACATAGAATCCAAGAAAACAAATGAATTTCAGAAAGATGGCAAAGGAATTTTAGTACTACAATAACTACATTTTCACAGTTACAGACTTAAAGCGACTGTCACAAGTTTGCAGGTTAACATTCATTATGTAAATATTCTGTTATTTCCTATTTTGCAGATTTACTACTTGTAAATAAAACACGCATCAAGGAGAGATTAAACATTTTTTGCTAAATAAAATGTGGCTTGAGATTTCTATTTAAAGACTTGTGGAGTTTTTATAAATGGATGAAGGAAGGAGTAGTTATGCTGAATGGTTGATATGTTCCCATTACAGTATTTAATGTACATGAGCATGCTCTATTGTAGCATGGGGCTTTTAATTACACACCTTAATATGGCCCAGGCCACTATGAATCCTACTATGGGTATATGTTTTCTCCACTCCAAATCTCCTTTCTGCTCATTTTCATGGATGCATGTACGAACATAGAGATTTTTTTAGTGATCATGGAAAGTTTAGCAAGTGGTGTTTATGACTAACCAAATCTGACCAATAAGACATAAACGCTACGTAGAAAGTTGCACGGTGGCAATTGATTAAAGAAATGTGATCAAATGTCAAACTTTGCTTGCCGAGAACTGAGGTAGTGCTAATCCCAATGGCTTATTTGTATTTACTTAGCACTGATCCATTTTAGCATACTAATATAACCTTATGGTATCTGCCCTCGATACTCTGCTCACATCCACCTTTTAATGGGCCAGTCAGTACCAAAGAATTAAGGTTAAAAATGTTCACAGCAAGAGAACCTTTGTGTATTGCCGTGAGGTGTGACCCCCCCCCCCCCCCCCCCCTCTGCCTGCCTTTCATAACATGACGAGCATCATTAATCATTCTTAAGGGAATGTACTTGAGTGGCTGTTGGAGGTTTGTTCTCTGGAGGTGTTAATACTTAGACGTTTACCCCCGAACCGTACATCATGCTCGCACTGCCCTAAGCTTACATGGGCACTTAGACTGCAGAGTGCCTCTGAGTGCGTAATACGGAGCCTCAGTCGGCTCCCATCGGCCTGGCCGGTGATTTTCATGGCAGTTATTGTTGTTGAACAGGAAGACCAGCAGCAACCGAGAGAGAGAGAGAGAGACCCAGAAGAAAGCATATTGGAACAAACCAAAACCACCTTTTTTTTTTTAATAGCCTTTCTTAAACCCCCACCCACCCCAACCCACCGGATTCAATGAGCCCAGATAGACAGAAAATGTTATCGTTCACACCATGTGTAACCAGCCGGGCTAATTCAATTAAAATTCCATCCAAGGAGGAACGCTGAAATTACGTAATGGTAGTGGGAGCACTGAATCTCGTAATGATCCTGTCAAGAGGCAAATGATCTCGCAGCGCGAACATTATGATACATTTCTTGCAAAGCGCGAGACGCTCGTTTCTTCAACCCCCATCCACCCTCCTTCCTCCACCTCTCCTTCCTCCACCCTCCTTCCTCCACCTCTCCTTCCTCCACCCTCCTTCCTCCACCTCTCCTTGCATGCAAAATTCTGTTCCCCTAGTCAATAAAGCCATGATCTGTATTTGCCCCTCCTTTCCTTTTTAATCTCGTTTTGTTACAATTGAAAAGGGCTTCGTGTTTTATCACATGCTGAACCCAGTGCAATTGTAATTGTATATTTTAGCTGAGGAGTCCATTGGTATCTGTCAGTGTGCGTCGCATCAAGCGCATGGCAGAACCGCAGCATCACAAGTGGCAGTCGTATCTTTAGGAAATCCGGTGAGCAGTTTAGTTTATCCTGGCGAGGCAAAGGTGACAGCCGTGAAGAGTCGGGCTGTGGGGGTGGGAGTTGAATGGTGGGGGGTGCAACGAGACGGTTTACTGTCACCGCAGAGAGAAAGCTTTGTGTGTGTGTGTGTGTGTGTGTGTGTGTGTGTGTGTGTGAGAGTCGGAAGGAGAGGAGTGGGTGTTAAGTGCAGGTGGTGCTGACCTTCAGCCCATCATAGGCGTACACATTGTATCCATACGAAGCTGACCAAGGGTGGTGAACATCCCCAAAGCTGTACCGTATTTTCCGCACTATAAGGCGCACCTTCAATGAATTACCTATTTTAGAACATTTTTCATATATAGGGCGCACCGGATTATAAGGTGCATAAGATACTGCAGTCAAACGTTTGACGTCGGGGCGGGTGGATGTGGGGAGGTGGAGACTCTGCTCTCAGGGTCCGATCGATGCTGCGAGGTTCATAGCACAATACCGCCATTATTAAAACGAAGAATGTTTACGAGAGAACGGATCAGATTGAAGAGCTTATACAAGCCGCCATTGGCGGACTATAAGGACGCGCGGACGGCCTCCCGATTTGTGGAGGGAGATCTCCGCAAACGCCGGTTTGCCGGTCGAGAGGTGCACAAAGTTGTGGAGGAAAATACGGGACAAATGTGTCCGCGATGAAAAGCAGCAGTGGCGATGCATGGGGCAATAAAGTCTATGATAAATAAATAAACAAATAAATAAATAGACGTGACTCTCTAGGTCGTCTTCAACAAAAACACGTTACTCCGCCTGTTCTGGCGGTGAATTGCTCTGCAACACACACAAGAATTTTAGAACCATGAATTGAAACGAGTGCGTCGACGCAACGACGCAGACGCAGAAGCAGAAACATGCGCCAGCCTGTAGAATAACTTATTTTCCCCGTTAAAATGGTTCAGCTACTGTAGAGAAAAGGGCACCGTCTCTCGCTATTTAATCTCATGAAGTGCTCGGCGAGAACGACAGCTTTGTTTCTCCGACGCGCCCTGAAACAAGCTCCATATCTCACGCGCTTGAGCGCCGCTCAGCATCTCGCCGTCGTAGACCGAGCTTTGGCATGTTTGGCAGAGCGCCTTGAGATCAACCAATTAACCAATTGATCGATATATAAGGCACTCCGGATTATAAGGCGCACGTTTTTTGAGAAAATTAAAGGCTTTTAAGTGCGCCTTATAGTGCGGAAAATACGGTAGTTCGTGTTTCCTGACTACTTTATACCAGATGGATGAGGTTTTAGCATCTCCAATTAAGTAATCGTAAGGATTTAATTTCTTGTCTGATTATTACAGTGGATACCGTCCTCGGGGTTTCTGGTAGGAAAATGAATAAACAAAAGGCCAACCGTCAGTAGACTAGTTGTAAGGCAGAGAATTCCATCGCAGTGATGTTAGCTCATCGTTTCAGTCGGTTGGTGCAAACTAAAGGATTTACATGCGCTAAAGAATTATACCATCTGGCATTTATGTGTCACACAGTTCATAAGGCTTGGAATATTTCCATTTAGTATTAAAGGCATAAACCAGTAACAGAGTTACCGCAGCAGTCAGGATCCATACGGCCTCATTTATCTGCACTCATTTTTTCACAGCTCAAATAAACATAAGGCAACTTCTCCAACCCAGTGACGGAATTTAAAGGTTGGCTTTTACCACATTTCTGTATCTAAGGTGTAAGGAAAGTTTTCCAGTTGACATTCCTCTATTCTAAATGGCTTGTTAATTTCTCCACTGGTAGAAAACCATTATGGACAGCGTCTCCCTGTCAGGACCAGAGAAAGTCCATTCCCTGCTCCACTGACCTGAAGCTTCCTGATGTCTGATTAACACACATGGATCGACAATCTATACAGAGCATTGCTGTGCTTTTGAAGAGGTTGTCTAAGGTTGATGGTTTCTGAGGTTGATGGTGTACTTTCTTATTTGATATATTTCCCAGATTGTCCCCTCCAGTCAAATTGCTTCAAATCGACGATTCGCCGATTGACTTCCGAGCGTCGCCTTCTTCCCCTTTAAGTTTCCCTTTCACCCCAGATGACTACACACAAACACGAATAGCTCCCAGAGGAGGCCCCCTGCCGTGAATGGGAACAGTCTGTCGGATCCGCCTGTCTTCCTCGCCAGGCGGCGGGTCACATCCCCCAGGACCCGGAGGAGTCTGTACGATTAGCATCCCACCCCTCACACGTCCACTCAAGGATGGATGGATCAACTGAGTCTGTTTATGTGGTTGTGTGTGTGCAGAAATGTTTTCACGTGCATGCATTTTATTATCAGCTCTGTCGGTGTGCATGAATGGTTCATGTGCAGCCTGGAGGTCAGAAAGGTCAAGTTCAGACTTCCCACACAAGACATTGTCAGTCAATTTAATCAAGCTTCAACCAGCTGATGGTTACGGCTGCAGTCCACAGTGGCTCCTTCTCTTTCTTTCTCCCTCATGCACACACATAAAAACACACCCACAAACTCACAATACAGCCCCCCTTTTGATCTTCAAATGTGCATTTTTCTCCCTGTGTCTTGCAGCTTCAGTGAACTGAACTTGAAAGCTGCTGCCTTTCCTCGGAGAGAAGAATGAATCTCTTTGGGTCTATTGTGGCATTAAGCTTTGAGGGGGGGACAACAAAGAAGTTAAATAGATATGTGTACACAATTTTCAGTTGGTTATTTTTCTCCAATTATTTGAATGGCTGTTGAAAGAGCAGTTTCTGAGACAATAAGCAAAATTATTCCCGCCGCTATTTCTTTGCTCGGTAATTAACTACGATGTGCAGCAGTCCAAAAAGATAACATTGCATTGCATGTTCTTTAAAGATAAAAAAACGGAACAGATGAAATAGAAACATGTGTTTACGTTTTGCGTATGTGATTCAATATAAAACATTGACTGAAATACATTTTCTGACAAATTGTTAATGCTGATTAGACGTATCAGCAGTGGACAGACGCAAACTAAACCCTTCAGAGATTTAGCTTCGCTCTGCCCTTTAACCCTCACATTCAGCTTGTCTGTTGGCTTTTCGCGTGTGATCAACAGAGTAGTTCTGAACATGCAACTTGACTGTCCGCCTCCACACAACCTCCATCCTTCCCAGCATTCACCACAGTCGCTTTGAAGTCAGAGGGACGCGGTGTGTCTTAACGACCCGCCGCTCATGGATTAATGAATCACTTTGTGGGAGCGTCTTAAACACAGCAGCTTGTGATCAAGTGCATTGTGGGATTGAGATAAGGCATGGACATTGCCTGGCAATGGAACTGACACACACCCTTAATTAGCTCAATTAATTTACCATGGGGATAAGGTCATGGTGGAGACGCTTGTGTGTGTGTGTGCATCCGTGCGTGCATAACAGAGGCTACCTGCAGATCGAGGTTTAACTGCTGGTACAGTTATTCGCCCGGTTGTTCCTGGAAGATAAGAGAAAGGGTTAATTAAT